CTTCGGAGAAGGTTTAGCATACTATCAAAAAGACCTTTTTATGGTCTACCCAATGGTTGAAACAGGCTTCTATCCTCATTCATTAAAAATGTACGGAGCTTTACACAATCGTAATCAAAATTAGGATTTCACTGCATTTCTTTTCTGACCAGAACTCAAGCGCGAATGAATGCATTTTCTGAAAGTTCAGCTACTGTATGTAATGGAAATTGTCAACATTGTGCACACTTTCTCAGGCAACGGATAGGACCCCTCCGCCGGAGAAATGGCGGGGTCCGGCGTTTCCCCAGCGGTGGGTCTCCCATTTGTCCGGCGGAGCCCTCCCATTTCTGCTCCGGATACCTCCCATTTTCTGCTCCGGATACCTCCCATTTTCTGCTTCGGATACCTCCCATTTCTGCTCCGGATACCTCCCATTTTCTGCTCCGGATACCTCCTATTTTCTGCTTCGGATACCTCCCATTTCTGCTCCGGATACCTCCCATTTTCTGCTCCGGAGACCTCCCATTTTCTGCTCCGGAGACCTCCCATTTTCTGCTCCGGAGACCTCCCATTTTCTGCTCCGAAGACCTCCCATTTTCTGCTCCGGATACCTCCCATTTTCTGCTCCGGAGGTCTCCCATTTCTGCTCCGGACCCCTCCGATTTTCTCCGGCGCGGCTCTTCCAAATCTGGCGGACTCGCGCCGGGCAAATTTCTCCGGCGCGAGTCCGCCAAATCTGGCAGAGTCGCGCCGGAGAAATGGCGGACCTTCGCAGCAGGGCCGGAGAAGCCTCCCACTTGCCTGCCAGTGATGTCATCACCGCGACGGATCGCCCATTTGCCCCTCTCTCATTGGTCAACTGGGTCCGGCGCGACTCTGGCAGATTCGGACTGTCCGGCGGAGGGGTCCGGTCGATTGTCTGAGTTAGTATTCTCTCAGAAATTACCTAAACTGCGATATCGGCGCCTCAACATGGGTGATGGTCACTTTGGTCATTCTGTGGCCCACAACTTTCTTTTGAAGAAGGCAATCGCCAAAGCTTTGCACATTTTTGTAAGCGTAAGAGTATACCTCCTGCTGACAGTTTTTGCAAAAAATTTTAGCTGTTCAGTACGCAGAAAATCAAAAATTTCATATCTTGGGACCTTGAGGCCTACGAAAAAATATTGAAAAGCTGACAATTTTAGATTTTGATTTTCTTCTTCTTATGAAATCTCTTTGTTTATGCTCTTTTCATATCTTTTTGCACTACTGCTTGCGGCTAAAAGATAGGCTAATCGTTTATACTAACAAATTTTGAACGGAGTTCTGATCAGTTAGAAATGAGGTTTCAAAAAAACTTTTTTGCTCATCAATTAGTATTTTTCTTCCCGTTTGTGATATAAGCATAGCTGAATGTGCGCTATCTTGCCGAAAATTTGCTGTCTCTAATGGTCTTTATTATCGCCAAACCAAAAAATTCATATTATTCAGAAAGTTATAGCGCGTCTAAGTTAGAACTCGCGAAATGCGCATTACTTTTGCACCAACCTAATACAAAAGTAACTACTACACTTATTTTCTCGCATCTTGGATTTGTCTGCCACTGCCTGTTGTCATCGTCAGTTGTTCATGCAAAATAACCTTTCAAAATTTTAAGTACAAGGTATTATATAAGCATCACTTTGACAATCTTCAACGTTATAGTAAAATTTCTGGAAGAGCCGTCAAACAAAGGAAAAATATAGCCTAATCAATTTTTTATTTGTGATTACTGGATTTCCAAAAGAGATTTCGATTCAGTAAGGTAACGACATGCTATTTGAGCCATCAAATGATGATTTCAAAGAACCACATCCAGACAAGAAATGTTCTATCAGGGAAGTCCCGCACATAAATTTTAGCAATTCCGAGACGACTGAACTGTTTTTCTTTCAAAAGAACACCCAAGCAGATCTGAATAATCTCGAAATGCATTTTATTTCTTTGCTTCGACTAAGTATCGGTTTCGTTTTGACGAATGAGGCTATAAATCTCCTCTTTCTTTCTTATTTCTCAAGCTTTGTTCCGCTTGCTGCTAGAGCTTCATTTTACTTCTTAATGTTTCTTATTGTCAACATTGGCAAAACACAACTATGCGATGTTTCAAATTGTTCATTTTGGAAGTTGTGAGTTAGTATCTCATTCGTTAACGGTTGAGAATCATTGTAAAATATTGACGAGAAAAAGAACAAGCTATGTTGTCCTGAATTCAAGAATTTAGATGCGCCGAGAAGATTGAGGAACTGCAGTTGAAAAAAAGCGTAGAAAATCTCAAAAGGCCACTAATTTGCTAAGAAATGCTGCGTGTAGTCGTTCATTTTTACATAAGTGCAAGCCGCTTTCCTTCCTTTTGAATAAAGCTACATTGAATGTGATATGGAAAGTCACCACCATAAAAGGCAGGACTGCAAAATTACGCAAATCCTTGTAAATAACTCCTGTAATTCTTTTGCCATGCCAAGCTTTAAAAACTATCCGTTTTGTTCCAAGAATGGAATCTTGATTGACCCAAGAATGGAGTGTTGATTGACTAGAGACACCTTGTATAGGTAAATCATTCGATATGACATTTTTTTCTATTTTGAAATCTACGAAAATGTACTCCACAAATAAGGTTGTTCTCTCCAGTTGCAGACATCTCATGGATCCCAGAAGTTCACGTTTTTATTACAGTATCCGAATTTCACAATTTCGGTTCACAGTTGAATTTTCTATTTAACTCTTATGAGCCTGAATACACCCAAGGAGATAGGTAATATGTAGACAACCTGCTACTTTTATTTCAGAATTTCCCGTCCTACCTAAAAAAATTTTAGAGGCCTTTTTTGCATCTCATCTGTAAAACAGTACGCGCTCTAGAAAGCAAATATGGCATGGAAACCGAAAAGAAAATCGTTAGCGAAAGCAAAAAATTGGATTTCATATTGACAATATCTGAAACTCTGGTATTTGTTCAGTTTGAAGACTGGGAAATCATAATAGAACCTTTGCAAAGTGATAGTCATACAAGGTCTGAATTTGAGAAATTTTGTGACAAACTAAACTCTTTTTCAATTTACCCGCCTTTCGCCCACTTGCTTACAAGTGAGTTTAGTTTGCTCTCAGTTGGATAAATAGAGAAAGTATAGGAAACCTGCGATTTTGCAGTTAACACATCATAGCTTTCCGAATGAAAAATCAGAGAGAGAACATTTTTGTAAAGAAGGGAACACGACAAGTAAAAAGCAACAAGGGGAAATTATTGAATTAACACCACACCGATGGTCCAAGCAAACCATAGTTTTGCGGCTATAGATTATACGATGTGGGCGAGGAAAGTGGAAAACGATACTTACTTGATTCTGGAGCGGTCTCAATCACTCGAAATCATGTTCCTTCCAATATGATTGATTGTCTGCTTGAGTGGGCTTGGGAATCACACGCTAAGCACTGAAATATGAAGACCTCCAATCCTGCGCAAGTCTACAAATGTGATGTCCACACAAATTTTTTGGATACATACACTCCTTGAATAAAACGAAAGCGGTTGGTCTCCCATTCATTCCTTCTTTTAGACGGAGTTCTGATTTCTAAACTCCTATTCCGGGATTTCCTAGTAAAGAAAGACTGCCTAGATTGATTCAAAGAAGAATATAAAAAGTTGTAAAACTCATATTTTAGACTTCATCTTGCGGGCATACTTCATGTTGTAAAGTAAGAAGGAAATTGTCTGACTTGCTTATTTCTGTTGTGTTATCCTTCAAAAATATTTTATTCTTGTTTTGGTTGATCTAGAACAAAAATAAAAAATCGCAATTTATATGAACGCATATCTTGCAGTATATTATACTTCTGATTCTAGAAGTTTTTGTGAAACTGTAATTGCATACTTTATTTGTACAGTGTGAATGGAAATCTTGAGCAATTAAATAGAAGATTATTTTGTTTCAATGTCATATGTGTTTTGGCCAGAATGTCTTCGAGCAGTGAATGGTGATCGGAAGGTCTCGACTAAGCCTTGTTCAAAAGATAACAGCACGAATTTGTGGCCGATGAACAAGACTGCCCAAAAGGTACTCTCTCCAGGCAGAAGAGACATAATGAATACGATCTGGGCGAAAATTCAGTGAGTTTTGGCCACGAATGAATTTTGTATCCGAAGCTTAATTATAGCTTCCAAACCAATTCCCATATTCAAAACCCAGGTATCGATTTGACAAACAATTACTAAGCTACAATCAAACAACTTCACAATAATTTTGTACCACAAATTCATCCAGTAAATTATAATATGCCACGGCATTATCCTTAAGATTTTTCCCATTCATGCACCATTCTTTTCGGTGTCGTTTTCATCTGCTAAACAGCACTGACACATCTTGACTGACCCCTGACTAGCCGTTAACGTCAACATCGATCCAATAAAACTTGAACACATGCGGCAGGGACAATAACGCAGCCAAAAACCTAGCTGATGTGGGAAAAAAGTCTTAAAGAGAAGCATATGTTTGGGTGAGCTTACGCGGAAAGCACATATTGAACAGAATGAGATGTGCATTGCTAAACTATTCTATTGTAGTCGTCTGTCAGTTTTAATAGTGTTGCATGGTAACTTTGCAGTCTCTGCGATCCTTCCTTGGGGGGGGGGGGATGCTCCGATTTCTATTTCGTATTTCCTAGTTTTAATTCATATTCATGTCTATAGCAAACTTTCAAAAGTCTGAACATATCTGCCTTAATAATTCTCATTTTCTCCGCACAAACATCTCAGTGACAGCAAATCACCTGCCAATAAAACGAAACCAAATATCTAAAAATCTTGCTACCTATCACATTCCCAGTCACTTTCTTTGACGTCAATTCTCATTCGCACTATTTTTATAGCTCCTCCTACTCAATGAAAATCAGTCAATATCACTATTTTCAGCAAAATTCTGCGATACATGCACTTATTCTTAACACTGGTACTGTTGCCAGTGCAAACATATCAGCAAGGCGAGAAATCTGGCGCTTTTATAATGAGTCAGGCAAGTCTACCAAGCCTTCTTCTTCAGTGCTGTAACTTATATGTAAATCAAGGTTCTTAGAATTGCTGGTTACGTTTTTTCATGTTTCAAGCCTTCTTCATATTTTTCATGGTGTGATCTACATGTTTAAGAGAACATCTTATCTTCCAGCACAAAGCAGAAAACCAGCGACCATTAGACCCCATAGACAACATGGAGTATTATATGGATGACGCAGAAGAGGACGAGGTAAACAATGATGTAAAAAAGGCAACACTTTTACCCCACCGCGATTTGCTCAGATAGTGTCCTGGCAGATTTCAAATACTCTTATTCGTTTGTTATGTACACAGTGATACATTTTCTTTCTTGCTAGCAAAAACCTATTGCCCAACTCCGGTCTACTAATGAATTTGTAAAGCAAGAAAAATACTATTGGATACAAATGTGTTGGCGCGATACCGTATCCAAAGCATCTTCGGAAGGACTCAACAAACGCCCCCATTTTTATGGAGGCCTTGCCATATTTTTGCGCTATTTGTATTTCACTGATGTTGTAAGGAGTTTCTTTGATCGCTCAGGGCCAAAATCTTTTCTGACATTCAAGTTGAGGAGAAGTTATAATTTATATCATAAGTGGTCGTACCGTGTCTTCAACACCAACTTCCACGAACGGTTATCGCGAGACTTATGGGTGGTCAATATTCGAAAGATTTTCCATCGACCTCAATATTGCTGAGTGTATTCTGTGTAAAAGTCGCTACAAATCTCGCTAAAATGATGTCCGCAGGAGGGCGCGCGCTCATGTCTAGTGTAATAAGCTTGTAACGCTTGAAGACAATGCTTTCAACCGCTCGCGCGTGTTTAAAGACCGCGTAAAGTAACATTTTACTCAACCTATACTGGGAGAGGACTATACCTCGCCAAAAAGGGAGGTTTCGCGCGCATCTGCACAAATAGGCACCTCAAATGAACGCTAACGGGCGTATTTTGTTGAGATTCCTCCCGGGAGCTCCCCTTTTGGCGACATATAACCCTCACCCGCCTATACGCAGTCTGCACCTCGCGTAGAAATCGAGGGCAGCGAGGTTAGATGTTTGCTGAATTAGGATCCCCTATTATTTTACGCCGAAATCCGATTGATACAAATTTGCCCGGACGCTGCGTTTGAGGCCTCTTGATTCTATTTTCGAGGTTTCAGGATGACATACAAAAAAGTGGTGGCCGTCGTCACAGTCAACATGGACGACATGGCGCACCCATACGCCCTTCGATGAAAGATGAAGGTGGTGGTGGTGGTAGCGATGGCGGAAATCTAGGCAGTGGACTCTTCACTCAAGGGTATGCAAGTTTGACTAGTAGCTAGAATGATGTAGTCTTACGCCCATTCGATGACAAGACAAACGTTTAGAATGCTATCGTTTGCTCTTCGACCCTCAGCTTCGCTATAAGTAGCTAATTACATCATTTGTTAATTTTTGCGCAATTGACAAAGTAGTGACCTTTGCTTCTCCGCTATAATTAGCATCTTTCATAACCATCATTCTTTTCCCAGTGATAGACCGTTCCATAAGTTCGTAGCGTTTTTGGTTTTGTTGTCTCTCATTAAATGGGCTGACTTACAACAAGGTACCTACACCGCTTGAAGAAACTTCTTTTGTGTGCATATCAGGAGAAACTGCCTTTTCTATGGAACATGTGAAGCTCTCATCTTCAATAGAAAAAGCTGTGGGAAATTCCCAAACAGGAAACCTTGACTAGGCTCAGACTATCATGGGAGTATGGCATACCCTTCGATTCAACGGGAATGGCGACTGGACGGCGACCGCTCGCACCCGGGACGCAGTTTGCGTCTCTCATGAGAGCGTGCTCTCTGATCATTCTCTAGCCTTGATTATGTCTCGAAGCCCCGCCTTTCAGCCGCCAATCCCGTTGAATCAGTACATGGAGGGGGGGAGAGGTGTTGTGCATGCCTGTTCAACAAATGCAAATATGGGATAGCTCTTTTTTCACGTCTTATGCATAGATAAAAGCAACTTTGGAATTTTCATGTGGTGTTAACACGTTTCGGACCGCGAAGTCGCGCGCGGCGAAAAAGGGTGCACTTTTAGCCGTTAGCCAACAAAGGGACCTTATTTCGTAGATTATTTACTACGTCTGTACTCAGCTTGTCAGATAAGTTCCACACCCAAAGTTCTGAGTGAATTTGAAATGTTTGAATTCGGCCGATTCATAAGGACTTCAGGGCTTTCCTGAAAGATAGGAGCAAGCACTCAGTTCCTAATAGTATCCAAAGGTCTCTGTGTTGTAAACGGTACACAGCAGTATTGAAGTACAGGTTCTTCGCTTTGATATCGAAGCAAAGAAAAGTTGCGACGTCGCACGCGTCGTTCGCGTTGCCGCACTTCGTTGCGACTGTTGTTCGATTTGTGCTCATATCTTCTAAACAAGTATCGACGGCACAACATTGCAGAATCATTTGAAAAGTAGGGGGGACGGAACTTAGGAATCCGAGCCTAATTAGCTCGATTCGGGGAGTGCCTGCAGGTTACAGTCATGCTCGCTGTCTGCGATTATTCACTAGGACATAGCAACAATCTAAGCCCCGCCCCGTGAGAGCCTGTTTGTAACCTAGCCAAGGAATGCCGAAAATTTCAACTGAATTTCAGGGCTGGCTCTAAGCCAAAAACCGTCAGATCGTACGAAGGTGAAATTAGGCTCAAACGAAAGAGAAAAACTGTGGCATCATCATAAAGTATTTACTCATTCAAACTGATTGAACACAACATTTCCTTGGTTCAAAACATTATTCAAGTGTTAAATTACTGAAAAATTATTCAAAAAACCGTCAAGTTTTTCAAAAAAATTTATTTAAGTGTAAATCCTAGCAAAAGACTTGAATAACATAAGAGAAATGACAGTTTAAAGGCAGTGTCCGGGCAAAAACTCGATTGTGAGATTTTGTGCTTACCCGGGCCTATTCGCTATGCTGAATCCGAAAATCCACATTGGAGAGCGCGAAAACAACGAAAAAGGGCTCTAATATTGGAGGAAAATCAGCAAGTGGGCGGGGACTTCCCCACGGTGTTTTCGCGCTCCCAGCTTCGGGGACGATCTTTTTGATTCCGGTTTTAAGTCATTCGTTTGCACTTGATCGGTAGTGATGTCTGGGCGGCTAATGGATTCGAGAAAATTGCTCTGGAAGCTGGAAGCATAGATTCACCGTGGGGAAGACCCCGCCCACTTGCTGATTATCCTCCAGTGTTAGAGCCCTTTTTCGTCGTTTTCGCGCTCTCCAATATGAATTTTCGGATTCAGCATGGCGAATAGGCCCGTATAAGCACAAAATCACAAAATCGAGTTTTTGCCCGGACACTGCCTTTAAAAACTTCCCAAGAGTTATTTGAATGCTGAAATTTAGGCGAAAGACTAGAAAATCAATCGCAAAACGACAGTCTATAAAATTCTCAAAAATAAAAATTTGTTTGTGTGCGGAAGTCTGGGCAAAAGACTAGAATATCAAGAAATAACAGCAAAAACTTCACTAGTGATATTGCTGACTCTGTCAACGACAGACGATTCTGATGTGCGAAGAACATCCTGCTAATATGCTGGAAGCAATGACCTCAACCTACACAAGGAAAGGTTGCTCTAACAGTTTGAGGCGAAATTTTCCTTAAAGATAGTAGCATGAAGGGTGAAAACCATTAATCGTTACTAACGATATCTCAACATCCCATGTCTTACGACGATTTTTTTATTCCCACATGCAGCATCTGCTGCAACAATTTTATTCATCGGCAAACCCCAATTCTGTTCCTGTTCTAAACTGGGAGCCTCAGGTAATTTTGATAAGTCTAATATTTGATAAGTCCAGTCTTTTTTTTGTGTTTTGATAAGTCTAGTCTTTCACCTAGACTTTCGCACACTAACAAGCTTTTATTTTTGAGAATTTTATGAACTGTCGTTTCGCAATTGATTTTCTGGTCTTCCGCCTAAATTTCATTCAAATAACTATCAATCTTGAGAAGTTTTTGAACTGTCATTCCTCGAATGATATTCTAGTCTTTTGCCCGGATTTAGCACTCAAATAAATTTTTCCTGAAACTTGACGGTTTTTTGAGTAATTTCTCAGTAATTTAACACTTAAAGTTTTGAGCCAAGAGAATGTTGTGTTCAATCAGTATAAATCAGTAGCTGCTTTATAATGATGGCACGGTTTTTCTCTTTCGTTTGAGCCTAATTTCACCTTCGTACGATCACTTTGAAGGTTTTTGGCTTAGAGCCAGCCCTGAAATTCAATTGAGATTTTCAGCATTCCTTGGCTAGGTTCCAAACAGGCTCTCAAGGGGGCGGGGCTTAGATTGTTGCTATGTCCTAGTGAGTAATCGGAGCCAGCGAGCATGACTGTAACCTGCAGGCACTCCCCGAATCGAGCTAATTAGGTTCGGGTTCCTAAGTTCCGTCCCCCATTAGGTTCGGGTTCCTAAGTTCCCGCACCCAAAAAGTAGAAGCTTAGGCCTTTGATTTAATAAACTTGGATTAGAAGAAAACTTCCTGTAAACGTCAAAAAGATCCTTCAAGACAGCGTGCTGCACCATGTGTAGCACCGGTCCGAAACGTGTTAAACAAAATCGCACTGCCGATTTCAAAACTGCGCTTATACGCAAAGCTACGCCAAGACCGCCGCATTGCTATAACTCTTTCTAAGTTTTCCCTATTGAACTCTATTAGTGTGTAACCAGCATTAAGTGATGCTCGATCTTATGTTTCAAAACTAAAAACCTGCCGCCCGGCAATATAAGCGCGTTGAAAGGCATTGGTATAATCACCACAAAATTGCTTTTTTGAACTTCGTTATCATAAATGAATTTAGCGCTGCTTACTTTAGGTGATATATATCACCTAAGGTAAGCAGCGGTATTTTATATATAAAGCTGAATGTCTGTTTGTATGTGTGTCTGTCTGTCTGTCTGTACGTATGTTCCGAATAGAAAATTCCATTTATGAACCGATCCGGACCAAACTTGGCACACATACACTTCGGGCCCCGGCGGGTGTCATAGGCTACTTTTCGTCATCGATCGATATCGATTTTATCGATTTTTTGCAAAATTTGAGCTACGGGGCTGGGAGTTGGCACAGGGGGGTAACCGAGCATGCTGATCACCCCCGTGGGGGTGATCAGCATGCTCGATTACACCCCCCTGCCAAATTCCAGCCCCCTAGCTCAAATTTTGCAAGAAATCGATAAAATCGACATCGATCGATAACGAAAAGTGGACTGTGGCACCCGCCGGGGCCCGAAGTGTATGTGTGCCAAGTTTGGTCCGGATCGACTAAGAAATGGAATTTTCTATTCGGAACATACGGCGGAGCCGGGTAAGCTAGTACGGTATATCCAAGAATTGAAAAAAAAGACAATTTTTCATGCGCCGCAAGGTGCAATAAACGCGACCTTGCGCTCGTAGTGTAGTGTTAAAAACTTATCTCTGGAAAATTTTGTATGCTCCTTTACAGTATACGAATGGAGCGTTACTCGAAAAAAACATCAAGCTTTGAAAAGAACAAATAAGATTGTATCCCATTTGCCATGGCAATTGGGATACAAGCATGTTGAAGGCAGTGTCCGGGCAAAAAGTCGATTTTGAGATTCTCTGCTAACCCAGGCCTATTATTCGCTATGTTGAATCTGAAAATCCCCCCAACGCAAGAGGGAAATCACAAGAGGGCGGTGTCTTCCCCACTGCGAAGTCACGATCCCAGCTTCCGGAGAGTTCCTCTCGGTTCCGATTTCGAGTCACGCATTCGCACTTGGCCTGTGGAGGTGTTAGGACAGCCAGCGGGATCGAGAAGATCGCTCCGGAAGCTGGGACCGTCAAATCACAATTGGGAAGACCCCGCCCAGTACTCATTTCCCTCGTGCACTAGAACTCTTCTTTGCCGTTTTCGCGCTCTCCAGTGTAGGTTTTCGGATTCAGCATAGCGAATAGGCGCGGGTAAGCACAAAATATCAAAATCGACTTTTTGCCCGGACACTGCCTTTGAGGAATCCGGACTTTGTAAGATCAATCATTCACAAGTGTTGATACCGTATAGCGACGATAGATTTTGTGCATGTGTATAACTAATTCGCTTAATTGCAGAAGAAAGATGACTTATTGGACTAGCGCGCTCCCTATTCTAGATTTTCACGTTCAAAACTTTACTAAAACTTTGGGAAGCCTCCCAAAGAACTTTTTCCAAAGGATGTAGAAGGTGGCCAACTCCACACCCCTCACCTCTCCAATGAAGAAATTTCTGTCGCACCCTCCCCAAAAATTTCTGGGGCCACCCTAAGATTAGAACACGGATATGTCTGAATTGTTGGTTTATGATTCAATCAATTGCAGTTCTATGAACGATTGACATATGTTCAGTACGTTCGTACTAGCATAAAAGCTGCGCTTGACGATCCAGAATAAAGTTTTCTTCAAGCATCCTCAATCGGTGTAACAGTTTCAATTCATTCAGTATTCTAACATCTTCTGTTGACGAAGCGCAAAGTGGGAAGTGTATTGGGCAAAAAAACTTCGAACCCATCATATTCTTCTTATTTCAGCCAATTAGGTAACTATGGGTGAGTTTCCAAACTAATTAACCTCTCTTGCTTTGTGTAAATTGTTTTCTCAATACTTTCGCCATAGAAACGTTCTAACATCAGCAAAGCATGTCGCTGTCACTCACACAGATTGTCGTGAAGCTTGTGTCTAATCCTCCAAAACTGCACAAGCTTTTTGCACTGAATTGACTATTCCAGTGAAACGAGAGATTTCCTTCATTTTCTACGGCGCATAAACTATGATCACAGGCAATGCCCAGAGAATGAAGTTGGAGGTGAGTTCTTTCAGGCCTTGCGAGTCACTTTTGCAGAGATGCCTACTCGCAAATTCTTTTTGGAACCCAAGTCTTGCACCGAAAATTCTTCAAAAGCCACAATACTTAAGTAACCCTTTCAATCTATGAAACAATTTTTATGTGATAATATGCAGTACTTTATCATACTTATTTTTATCGAAATACTAAAAATGATTGAAACACAAATTCTGGAGATGTCTCATCAATGAGAACTTATTTCAATTGAAGAGGGTAGATCATGAAACCCAAACCAAAAGTGAAAGTAATATTTCAAGAATCAGCATTTTTAGCGCCGTAAAAAATACAACTCGAATATTTGTCTGATTTCATTGTCGCGATATAAAACACAAAGGGTAGGGGACTATATGACGCCGATAGGCTCCACCCTAGACATGCAGCTGGGCCCGTAGTAAACCCCGAAATACGGCTTAATGTAAAGAAAGCGAGTTCGCGACTGTTCGACTGAAGGACAAGCTAATCACAACCAGAACTTGGTTGCCGCAAAACTTGGGAGCGCACGCGCGCCTGAACACTTCGACGGCGCGCACTGCCACTGCACTACAGAATCTTGACATCAAGGTGAACTCAAAGTTGAAGCGGACGAAAAGATGCGGCAGGCGAAATATTCGATCGCGACATCATTCAGTTACAATAAGCAAGCTTCGATTTGTATTAGCCTTTCTTTGTAGATTGTAAAGGTGTGCATTGCCTCTTATATTCGCAAAGCAACGCGTACTGATGGTGTTCCAGAAGAAGCATGGATAGCGCAGCGCCAGTTTTGGATGCTGCTGTGCTTGTCAGAAGAAATGCGGGAGAGGGTACGCGTCGCGTATGAGTCAACGTTTTGCGAGCTGCTCACTAGATGAGTTTTTGTGTATGTAAACAAAAATCTTCAACAGGAGAGGAAAATTAAACACGTAAAACACTAAGTTGAGACTAGATAAAATGAGATGTCGTAAAATGTCATTTTTTCAATTGGCGCAAATATGTGCTACTCTATTAGCCGAGGCCACACGGTTTCCTTTCTCAAAAATCAGGGGGAACGTCAGGTGCACAGCTAACGAAGAGCAATTCGGTAAACTATGTAAATTCAATTATGTAAGAACTTCTAAGGCGGGAGTTTGGGCAATTTGGCAGCCAGAAAAATTTGGCGCTCAGATTGGTCGCAGTGTGAGAGCAAAGAGAAAAATAGCTTCAGCACAACAAAATACGACTAATTAGAACTCTAATACAATTTGAATCAAAGTAAAGTCACCTTTCCATAGTTGAATACACAGTTGTGCAGAGACACTCAGAAAAATGAGAAGAGCCGCCCGCCACTTGTACATTTGGGAGCTTATCAGCTGTTGATGTCGACTGATACGTTGAATCCGCCTAGTGGTGTGTGACTACGGTCCTTGCGCACAGGACGCACTCGGCGTGTTCGACCCCTACTCAGATAATCGCCGGGGCCAGGCGGTCAGAGAATTTTGGGGCGTGGCCAAACCTTCAGCGGGCGGTCGCATACTCTGCCAGCGGGCAACAACACAGCATTTTCTGCAAGCGCTCAGCAAATAATTTCTTTCAGCGAGCGCTGGCTAAACTTTCAGCAACCGCTAGAACTCTTTTAACGCAGTTTCGGGCATACGCCGAGTAGAGGTGTCATCGATGGTTTGATTACTCAAGTTTGAGGTACGTTCTTTCAGCGGAAGATACCTACGGGCTGTGCGGTCCTTCACAAAGGACTGTGCGGCCCTCAATATTTTTGCATATGCGGAAAGTCCGAAAATGCGGCCACTGCGCCGCAACTAATCTATAGAAAAACCACGATACTTCTCCGAGCATTCCTTCAAAATTTATCCAACATTCTTTCAGATTTCTGCAAGCGGACCGCATGAAATCAGCGAACTATTTCTCCGGTGCCCGCTTGCTCAAAATTCGCACGGCCGCCTGCCCGGCGATTACCTGAGTAGTCGGTTGCGCCTTTCTGCGTCTCCACGCCGGGAACACTATTCCCCTTTGTCTGTTCCGCAAGTGACAACGTTCATGAAATGGTGGTCTTATGTGCACGACGACGAGTACGTCCTACAGTCATAACGTCTCCGGCGGCCATGATAAGAAATAGCTGCAGATGAATCGCGGTCGGAACCACAATGGGTTCGTGTTTCGATCACGAAGTCGTGATCATCACAAGGAAGGATTACTACGGACCCTGGTACATCCGCAATATTCGTAACATGTACGACTGCAGATGTCCAGGACCGCACTTTTCGACGGACATACAGTTCTCTACCCGAACATTACTATTTGCTTCGATTACTACTAGAAAGCTCATGAATCCTTCCGTCTAACTTATACATATAAAGTTCGGAAATGAATTTAAAGAGATTGAGGGGCTGAAAATTGCTCATATTTTAACCTAATGAAATCCAATCGAAATGCCTCCATGTTTTTTGAATACACAGTCTATCAGCATGTGCTTCAAATTCATATGAAGCCGTCTTAAGGGCAGGGCATACTTCACGCGATTTCTGTCGCGACGCGATTTGGTAATATTCCAACCTTCCATAACTCACTGTAAGCACATTTCCAATGTACAGAAGATAGGGCATTCAATCAATCCACATATATTGGATGATTGACACACAGATTAGCGTATTCGTTTATCGGATATCGGAAACTACAATATAGACAGATAAAATAACTGCAATACAGTAACCAGATAAAACAATGATCAAGGATACCAGCTATCCCAAGACGCGTGGAAGGCGGTGAAGCGTGAGCCGGCGTCGAGCAGCGTACCGAGGCAAGAAAGAATGTTGCAAGAATGTTCCCTCGGCTTCATCATGCCCTTTTAGTACCGTTGCTCGGTTGTTGTTAGATCGCGGCATGATAGCGGTCAGGCAGCATATCATGCCGGCCGTTCCCAGGCGTCGCTTACATATTTGCGATCGCTCCGCGATACTCCCGCCGGCGTCGTGAGAGGAGCTTTATGAAGCGTAGCGCTGCGTAGCAAAAAGCGTGAAGTGAAGCGTAGCGACGAGTAGCAAAGGCGTAAAGTGAAGCGTAGCGATGAGTAGCAGAAGCGTGAAGTGAAGCGTATACAATGCAGTCCAAACATATTTTTTCACGCGTGACGTCTCATTGCTGGCGTTCTTCGCGTAGCTGGCGTTCGATGTTGCGCCTTCTCTCGCGGTTCCTTTCTAGTCCTTCGCGTGCAGATCGTAGCTGCTCAAGGATTGATTGGCTTTCTTCTGGCAATTCACAAATGGCCGAATGGTGTCCGAAACCACGGCAGTGGTAGCATTTCACTGCGTACTTTCGACAGTAGATGTCTTCCGCGCATTCTGTGGTTAGACACATGACACAGCGAAGCTCAGCTCGCAATACATCCCGGCGTGTCGCTGCGTCCGCGACAGTCTGACACGAGTCTGAATAATGGTTGCCGACGCGTTTACAAAACACACACTGAATGGTTTGTTCCTCGCTGCGCAAAATGAAACCGTGTGAGAAGCGTCTTGGTGGGCAGGTTCTTCGTTGCGAGAGCTCATCTATCAGACGCTCAAAGTCGCGTTCTGCTTGAATGGCTTGGTCTAGGTCTGCCCTGAGACGTTGCCGCTGGCGTTCATGTCTTTCGCGCTCCTCTTCCAACTGGCGTCTCTCTTCCTGTTCGAGTGGTGCTTCGTCATCGCTGTTGGCTTCTTCTACATATTCCAGCTCTTCCTCGAAAGGAATCTCCTCATCGAGATGCTCGGCTTCTTCGTTCGGCTCCTCATTGTGAATTTCTTCGCCTAGCGCCTCTTCTTCCAGTTGGAGCTCATCCTCGACCCTTGCGTCGTCTGCGTGATGAAGAGCTTCTTGAACAGCTTCTGTAGGCTCGTTCGTCGCGTGTTCTTCCACTCTTTCTTCTTCCTGCATCGCCGCGTTTTCACCGTCTGGACTCTCTTGATTCCCTGTGCTTTCGTCTGTGGGCTGCGTTCTCTTGATTAAGGCCAGTATTTCGTTCAACTTTGCGTCGACCTTACTCATCACGGCGTTCACGACCGCATCGATGATTTCCTCCCTATGTGTTGAAGTCTCTTCTTCTGATGTTGATTGCGGTCGTGTTTTCTCGACTTCCTGCAGCGTTGCGACTATATCTTGCAGACTGGTTTCAAACTCTTCCACCTTTTTCGATGTGGATTCTTCACTGTCGACGAGAGTGGTGACTGCTGCGAGGATCTGTGCCTGCCGATTGGCGACCTCTGTGCGTTCCTCCTGTTGCAGGTGATTGCGAATATCTCTGAGTTTTTGGCTGATCGAAGTGACGGTGCGCAGATGGTCGTCGATTGCGAAGTTGATGATCTCCTGGTCCGTGAGCAGTTCCATTCCATGGGCGTCTCTCCTCTCGCGCGCAATCATAGCTTTCCAGGCGTCAAGGGAGATCGCGTTCGTAGCCACGAGGAAATGAGGCAATGCAAAAAACATACAAAACTGCGTTCTCAAATAAAGAAGCTCTAATCTAAAGCGATCACATTCATTCTCTCTCATCTGCAGTAAAGCTAGCCGATCAGACCATTCTTGTGGTGAACCTTCGATGCGCAATACATCCAATTCCAATTGGCTGACATCTCGCATTGTCTGATTGAGCTGCCCGGCGTGATCGAGGATTTGCTGGAGCAGCACGGGCGGCATCGGAAGGGTTGGAATGGCGCTGCGTAGTCGTTTGTTCTCTTCTTTCAAGCGGGACAGTTCATCTTCTCGACTCATGGTCTGAAAGGGTACTGGTTCAAATATAATAAAGTATAGATGATAAATATTTCTAGTGACATCAGACGGTTTTTTGGTGCAGCGCAAGCGAATCGAAACTGTGTTGTTTTTTACCAAGAAAAAATTGAATGAGTGCGTTCAGTCCGCGTACGGGACAACAGAGAATCATGCGAATTAACTTTACAAGCAGAAATATCATGCGCAAACCGAGGAATTGAATGGTCAAATAGGTGATCAACAGCGCTATTACAACCCCTAGTACTGCCACTAGTATTGACTTATACCAGTCTATCATGGTTTTGAATATGTGCTCTAGATCAGGCCACTGGAATTCGTTATACAGCGTGCTGTTTCCTTGGATGGTTGCTAGAAATGGGCCGCGTAACGAGCTTACATATTTGAGTGTTCCAACTAATGTGAAATCCTTTGAAATTGTTCCACATTTGACCGAACAGTTCATTTCTTGCCTTGCGGCATTCAGCGCGAACACCAGGGTAGAGTGAGGGTTTTTTGGACCACATGGAACCGCAAAGGCATCTTGGGCGCAATATATCTCTGCTAATCTTTGCGTTTTCGCATAACAAGTGATGACGGCTTTTGCTCCTTGCGCGCAGTTGTAGCAGCCTTGTAAAATGCTGTTTTCTACGGTACAGACGTCATTATGCACTTCAAGAATAACATCGTTGATCTTTTCCTTGAAGTCTACGATAAATTCCGCCATTGCCATCTGCGGAATTCGCGCTACGAGTACTCCGCGATCATTTTCTAGTTGCCAAATCGGGGTTTTGATTGGCAGGCTTGTCTCTACATCTTGAAAGACCTTTCTCAGATCTGAGGAAGAGCATTGACACTTGACTCTACTCTCAGCGGCCTCGCAACGGCAATCGTCGCGCAGTGTACAGTTTAGATTTCTAGCGGCTTCCCCAGAGTCACACTGTAAGTGTAGATCTTCCTGTTCTCTCCAAATCGCGATATTTTCACCGTCGGTGATGAATCGATCATTGAGTAGTGACATGGGAGGTAGTGCCAAGGAGGTCATCACTATTCGAAGGGAGGGTAATTCGACAGGAACATTAGGAGTCAGTGGTATAATAAAGCGTTGAAACCTTGTTTCCCTGTCCTCCCGCTCTAGCGTGACTTCCAGCTTCGCCTCTTCTCGCCATCTCATGCAGCGGAAAAGTTCGTAGACCTTTGTTGACTCTGGAACTGCATAGACTCTGTAGAAAAGGCACCCGGCGCTTGGGTAGAAGCAATCGCAGCCCCATCCCCCACAGGATTCTATACATCCAGTTCTTCCTGGGAATGCGTTTCCTGGTTCTAGCTCGGGTATAAGGCTGAAGCTGCTTACATCCGCGCATTTGTTCCTTGAACAAGATCCCATGTGCGCACAGCGCTTGCTATCTATCACGTTCAATCTGACGGCTCGCGTGAAGAGCAGCGTTTGTCGATCACAGGGTAGAATGCTCGCCTGCCACGCGGGCGGCCCGGGTTCGATTCCCGGCCGATGCACCATATATTGGATGATTGACACACAGATTAGCGTATTCGTTTATCGGATATCGGAAACTACAATATAGACAGATAAAATAACTGCAATACAGTAACCAGATAAAACAATGATCAAGGATACCAGCTATCCCAAGACGCGTGGAAGGCGGTGAAGCGTGAGCCGGCGTCGAGCAGCGTACCGAGGCAAGAAAGAATGTTGCAAGAATGTTCCCTCGGCTTCATCATGCCCTTTTAGTACCGTTGCTCGGTTGTTGTTAGATCGCGGCATGATAGCGGTCAGGCAGCATATCATGCCGGCCGTTCCCAGGCGTCGCTTACATATTTGCGATCGCTCCGCGATACCACATAAGTTATACACACTATGCATGTGCGGCTTGCTAGTGTTGGATCTGAAGACTTCTGACGAATTGCCAAATCGCTTCGCGACTGAAATCGCGTGAAGTATGCCCGGCACTTTATGCAATTGCAGAAGTCTTTGTAGAGTTTAGGTTGTAACAGAATCAATCATATTTCTAAATTTTGAGTCTAGACCATTACACTTTTAACAAATAATCGTTTAGTGCGCAATAGAAATTGTTTTAATCAGCAATTCTTTGCCAACTGAGCATGCATTACTGTGTTGATACAGCTTCACAAGATCTTATAGCACGAACCAGGGCTCGGCACGAGCTGGCACCAGGGAACTTTAAAAACGAAAACCCGTTTGATCTTGAAAATTTCGTACGAAATCCCCTTTGACCTGTTTCGAAGACCCGTTATTATTTTTAGATTGTGTAAAAGTATGTAGTGGGGTTTTATGCATGCTGATTTCATGTAACAACTTTTCACAGCTTTCTGAGCTTTTTAATTAATTGAATCACATTTTGAGAAGCAGAAAAACCAATTTTTCGACTTTGAGGCAGACCGAGTGATTTTCAGATGGCTATAAAACGCTGAAAAGAAAACATTATGAAATGGTTTTTTCTCTGTATGTAAACTTTCACAGTGTAGATGCATTTTATGCAAAAAAGTATGAAAACTTATGTGAGCAAAGTGTCGGTGCCAGCTCAGCTGGCACCCAGCTGGCACGGTGCCAGCTAATTCAGAAAAAAGTTCAGCACAGCTTTCATTCACATAAGTTTTCATAAATTTCTGGGCCATAGTTCGGATTCCCCAGGGCGCATGTACACACCAAATTTGGTGTCATACTATTGCGTTTTGACTGAAAACAACGCGTTTGATGGACAGCATGCCGGTGGCATGCTGACGGCGTTCTGCGTGCGGCTCTTCTCCGCTCCGGAACCCGGAAAAACGATATCCCCTTTGCTTTCTAGAGACGATATCCAGCTTGACCCGGTGCCAGCTGTGCCGAGCCCTGGCACGAACGTAGCCAGGTATTTGTTTGGAAAACCTTCCCTTTAAGAAGCGTCTTTGACTTACTTGCAAATGTGGTTAGATGGCGCAGACATTACTCATTGTGTGGCCTATAGTCAGTTGTGCAGCGGCGCTAGACTCTGCTTCTACGAAAAAAATTTTGTGAGAAGATATAAGATTTGAGAAGGTTTGAAAGTACTCATTTTTTCGAGTTCTTTGAAGAAAAACTTTAGAATTTTTTCGATGCTGAAAAGGAAAAGGCTTCCGTTTTTTCCAGTTGTAATTGATTCTGTTTAAATCTTAAACAACGGAATCTCCGTAATCGCTTCGCGCTGAAGATCCTCATATAAAGCAAACGGATCGCAGCAAACCTTTAAATTTGCTATGAAATTTCTTGGCTCAGAAACATATAGAATTATCAATTCATCATACAATTTGTAGCATAATTCACTAAAAAACACTATGTAAAATTATGGAAAATTCCGATTTCTTGTAGCGACTTTAGAGCCAAAAATACTAAAAGAGAATTTATCAATTTTGATCTCTTAATTTCACGGGCACCAAAATTCCAAATGAATCCACTTCCAACAAAACGAAAGAATACATAAGAATTTTGAATAAAAGAGCTATATGATATTTAAAACTCTCTAAAAAGATGGTTTTCCGTTCTAAATCAGCATTCTAAAAGAGGTGCAAAGAACTGCATCAATTTTGTTACAGCCTAATAAAATGTTCAGAATGTAAGCTCACAAACTGCGATTTCAGCAGTGGAGGTTGAGGTCTCCGTTGTCGTCAGCAATATACGAGCAGTATCCGAAGTCACAATGGTGAGTTGATGAGATTCTGGTAAACTTCTCAATTCACATAAACTTCCTCACGTTTTCAAGCTAAATGTCTAAATGGTTATCGAAAATTCCCCCCCCCCCCTCACCCAGAATGTTTGCGCCTTTAATAGTATAGAGTCTTACTAGGGCACACGCCGTACTTGACCACATGATTAGGTTCCAAACAAAACCCTGCATCATTGACGTCATTTGGCGAAGTGAATGAAACGGATAAGTATGACGTATGCTCAACGCTTGTCCTCCTGAAATGGGCTAGCCCAGCATCATAACCCTATGGATATTGATTGGTTCGGCAAGAGGACGTGCAACCGGGGGGGGGAGGGGGGAGGGAACAAGCACTGTAAAATCCCTTTTGCTAAATTCTGCGGAATTTTCTTATGGCATCAAGCCATGTTGCCTCCCCCCCCCCCTCTTGTTGTTTGCAGTCGTGTCCTACTTCCGAAAATTTTTGGAATGCACAGAATTTAAGATTGTCGCCTTCCGCACCACATCCGGACACCCCTCAAATACGATACTGGGACTGCAAACAAACTCAGCAAACTCAATTTTTGCGTATACCTTGCCTCCAGAAAAACAGAACCCGGGACTTCAAACAACACACAACTTTTATAAAGTACAACCTTGCTAACTCGGCTCATAACATTCCAATAGAAAGTAACAAAAATTTGTACCCTCTATCTCCTTGACTTTTGCTACACTTTTGATATCCACATTCAGGATTATGCTCTGGAACTGTACTATCGCGAGTCATGGCGAGATGACCGTCTTCGATTCAACACGTCATTGTTCAAGAACAAAACCAAATTAGCCCTGCACGAGAGTTACACAAACTTCTTATGGTTTCCGGATACTTTTGTGCCGAATGCTTTAGCATCCAAGAATCCACAAAGAAACAGTATTTCACACAGATCATTGCTAAGGTGAGCTATAAAATCGAACAGGTTGCAAGGCTGCATCCATAGTTGCACGTATGCCGGCGCAGGATCGGCACAGGATGCCGCCAGGGCCTGGCGCAGATAGTCTGTTGTCGAACTAGACTTCGCTTTTGGGTAAAAAGCAAACGGAGTATCGTTTTTGCGGGGTCCGCGGCGAAGCCCGAAAAAAGTCGGTCTGTACATCACGCACTGAACGTGCTCTTTCGCAGACGCGTATTTTCATATCCAAGACTCAAACAAACAGATGGCTTGCTTGCAGCGTGAAAACGATCACATGAAACCAAGTTTGGGCTATGTATATCAGTACTACTCCAAACTATATGTATTCTGTAACAAGTTTTGAAAACTCATGCCCTGATATAGGACTCTGCGAATCGCGAGAGTTGGTAGGTTTGCAACCATTGCACGCGCACTGCGCTTCTCAGTCATCTTTCTCCTTTCAAGCGCTTTTCTGCTATCATATGTCAGCTTCCAAGTACTTGAAATTATGAAAAGTATGGGATCGTCCAACTGCATGGTTTACGACCTTGTGGCATCCTGCATGCGCAATGGCCGCAAACTCACCGACTCTTGCGATCACGGAGCCGCATATACGTTTCCGGATTCATGGATTCTAGACCAACATCAAACCAACTAGGTTGGTTCGGAGCATAATTATCGGAGAATTCACCTTACATAAGTGTTATTTTTGTTGTATCAAATGTCTCAAAAAATACTTTTCTGCTTATGTATTGTTGTTTTGATTAAATGAAAGTTTTCCTACTGACTATGAGGTCAAAGAGGAGTCTGTAAAATTTTGAAATCATAGACGACTTTTTTTTCAAAGATGTTCAAAACCAACGCGTGCCGGGCACTGGACGCCGCCTTCACAATTGCGTCTCCTTTGTTGATGTCCCGCAAAGACGCGAGAGTTTCGTTGCGTTCCGTGCCGGCAAGCAGTATTTGTGGATGCAACCAGGGACTAGTACGAGGGTGGCAAACGGACATCGGTGAAACGATTTCGCCTTTACTATCGATATGTACGATTTCCCACTTAATCCCGCCACCTGCGTAGGTTGTTTTATTGGAGCGCGCTTTCTTCCTCAAAAGGACCGGCGTCGTCGTTATTTCGGATCTTAACAAGAAGGAGTTTTGGAACCGAAATGTTGTTTTATACTAAACTTTAGATGTAGAACAAATTTACGTAAAAATTTTGAAAAACTTATGTGACTTGGTAGTTTTGCCTACTTAGATGGACATTAGTTGGGCAATTGCCCATCTAATTCAGCTAAAAGTTAAGCATGCTCTTCATTCACATAAGTTTTTCATAATTTTTCATACTTTGCTCCTTAGTCCCACTGCGCTTATATACACCATTTCGTGCCATATCGCCATCCGTGCTTTGTTGCAAACGATTCATTTTTCTATTCTTTAGCAGGGAAGTTTTCAGAATAAAGCTTGCCACAATCTTCAGTCACACAAATTCTCCATAAAACTTCTTAGACAGCTTTCACAGGTCCGTACATGTACGTACCAAGTTTTGTACTATATCGTCACCTGTCCTTGCAAACAAGCCATTTGAATACATCTTCATCACCAATTTTGGGAGAATTTTGGAAAAAATGCTTAGTCACCTTACGTTCACCCAAGTATTTCATAATTTTTCATACTTTGTTTGCACTACCCATTCGTTCGCTTACGCAATTTGGTGCTACACTGTTGCACACGCATTGAAGACTGATTATGTACGCTGTTCCAAACGGCATCAGCCGAGCGACGTCGCGCGTGCGAACTCTGCTGTGCGCCTGTTGAGCCACAAACATGTTAAAATGAACAAGCACTAAATACCAATTTTTCCGGCGCTCCGCCCTATCCCGCAGAAACGATATCCCGCTTTCTCCACCCAAAAACGATATCCAGCTTGACAATTGCCCACCTCGTGCCGGCCCCCCGGATGCAACCTCCTGAATAAAGCTTTCCTCTTGATTATGTCCTGCAAATGCTTGCTATTCCCATAATCAACATACACTTGTCTCTATGTGAGAAGTCACAGCTCAGAGTTTAAATTTAGCGGAAAAATCGGTAGTCACTTGAAAGATCTTCAGACGTTGCCGTTTCATCAATAACACAAAATTGACGATGTATAAATGACCTTAGTATGAGAGAGAAATTATTCCTTTTAGGCTGCAAAGCAACGGACAACTACTCTACAGTCGCCGAATATCTTTGGTCTGCGAATGCAGTAAGTGTTATACTTCTGGTTCATCTTATAAATTTCGAAAGAAATGATCATCTCTGCAAAAATTCATCGTGGGAATGAGGAGGGAAGAGAAGGAGTGGATTTTTTCTTTTTGTTGAGAGTACCTTGCTAAGCTCAGCCCCTCCTGCAGAATTTGCTGTATTGAGACTTTGGAAGAAAAGTGTTCTCATCTCAGCACTCACGTAAAACTTTGGAAAGACCATCGTATTGCAAAGAACTTTTTCAGCTATGGACTTGACGTTATTTCCATTCGACAAGCAACTCTGCAAGTTGGGCATTGAAAGCTGTGAGTTGCTAGTGATTACCAATTCCGTATGGAAAAAATTCGATGATGGGCACTATCAGCGCACCCATGACGCATACTAGACTTCTAATTCAATATCGAATGAATCTGTCACTTGAGGCAATTATGAAGACTTTGTGTGGGTCCTTATGGACAGTCAACAGGCAAGAAAATGCCCATACCGGTAATGCACCCGCGGCATTTACGATAAGAAAATTCAAGGGCATATCTCATGTAGCACGGCAAGAAATTTCGTTTGGGAGGGGGAGAGGAGGGGCATGTCAGGACTTTTTTTCAGGCGAAGAAAACTGGAGCTAGGTAGGTTCAAAATGATTTTCGCGCTCTTTCCCAAGTTTTCTGTTAGTCCTTACTCCCGAGAATTTTATGCTGATGTGAATCCAAGAAAGCTGTCAAGATTATTTTAATTCAAAGTATTGACAAGGCACCACATAATGTCACAACTTCTGCTCCTTTCTGAATAAGCTTTTGTTAACTACGGCTTCGTGCAATTTTTGATCGAATTATTGAGAGAGAACGCAAAGAGGAGGCAGGATAATAGATGGCATGGTTCCCTGGTCACACTAAATTCGTTTACACTTCACATAAAAAATATGCTACATGACAGAAGAGAATGCAGGAATGATCCAAGGTGAAGGGTAACGGCTGGGCGGTACAGCCGCTTTCACTGAAACAGATTGACAAACCAAAGAAGCTAATATGCAAAAGACATTTTGTCACTTAAGAATATGAGTACCTAAATAATGATGAGACCTAAAAATTTGATGAAGACACATACGGAATATGGTAGTCCGTACACAGGGCTCGAGCTGATGTACTGAATAAACTGGACTTCGTTTTTGGGATAAAAAAACCAAGAGGATATCATAAAACGAGTCAAACATCAGATACTTGCCTAGTGCTCACCTGCCCCACCATCAAGTTTCTTCAGGGTTGATATACTCTAACGTGTTCTTTCTCACAAGCGCCCAAACTCGAGATGCAGCTCAAATAAACAAATTTTTGTTTACAGCGCACAGTGGATTTTATGACATTAAATTCAAACCATATTCATACAATATCACTCCCCACTATGTCACGATAAACATTCCGCGAACTTATGTGTCCTAATAACTGTTATCGGATTCGATGGTTTCCATACATCATCAGTTGGTCCGGAGCATAAATATCGGAGATCAAACAAGTTTTGCACCATGCTTCGACTATTTTTTACGCACAAAAATCTAACCACTGGCCAAAAAACGCGTCAAATTGCCTCTTCTCTTTTTGGATTATAAATCTTATATAATATAAAGCTTGTCTGTTTTATGTCTGTATGTATTTCTGTATGTTCCGCATAGAAATTTGTCATTTCTAAACCGATCCGCACCAAACTTTGCAAACATACACTTCGGTGCGGGCGGGTGTCATAGGCTACTTTTCGTCATCGATCCATATCGATTTTATTAATTTTTCAAAAAGTTCGAGCTATGGGGCTGGGAGTTGGCACAGGGGGTATGTGAGCATGCTGATTACGATTATATTTTTGACAGGGCCGGGCGGAGCCGGGTTTGCCAGTTAGTATAATATAAATGAATTATAAAAAGTTAACTCCGATGTCTGAACGAGTGTTTGAAGATGCTAGGAGGGAAATAAAATTTCTATCTCTTGTTTCTATGTACGATTCGCTGTTGTAAATAGAGGAGAGAGAGAGCATTGTCACTGAGGAAATTTACGCTAAAATTCTGCATAAATTGATGTTTCTTTGTCATCAAACCAGTTTTGAAACAAATGGTTATTTTTGCATTCAAACTTTGTAGCAGCCATCCCATTTCATAAACTTCAAAGGGGGCTTCGGAGTGATTGCACGAAGACATGGAGGACTTTGGTTTTAAGAATGCTCGAAGCCAACACGTGCCGAACCCTGTCCGTATATCTCATGGTTTTGTCTATGTTGGAAAGCAGCTTTTACCTAACAGCTGCTCATGATGGGGGGGGGAGCTGGTCTCAGATAACGAACCTCTGGCATTGATCTTCCCCTGCCTGCAGGAGCTGGTGCCCTCTTCTCTCTTTTCCCTTCCCCTTTTATATATAGTTATGTATAATAATTATTGAAGTAAGACTTATTAAACCCGCTACACATCAGGTAAAGGAGTAGCTAACCCTATATCCTGACATCTAACAAGGGATCTAACAAGGGAAGGAATTGGTTGAAGTGCAGTTTCCGCACGAGATGTATACTGCCTTATAGAGCATGGAACGCTGATTCCAGATCTGCTTTCGTTATCTGCAAAGCGCTTCTGGGATGGAAGTTATGAGAATTTTTAAAAACAAAAATTTGAGATTTCGGCTAAGGTAAGAAAGAAGTTGAGGTTCTTCTAGCGCTTGAATGGATAACGATCAGCTTAAATTCATTGGACTGAAAAAGTTAACTGCAAGAGCCCTGGCAGTAATCATGACCCCATCCGAGCTCACAGACTACTGTTCTAATGATTTTATTGCAGATGCGCCTGGAAATTTCGTCAGAAAATTCCAATAGCTCCCCTCCAAGAAGCGCTTTGCAGATAACGAAAGCAGTTTGGAACCAGCGTTCCATGCTCTGTGAGACAATTTAGATATCCTACAAAAAGCCGCTTCGACCAAGTAACCTTCCCTTATAAGACCAATATGTGAGAAAACAGGCCAGGCGCCAGGATGTTACAGAAGCGCTACTCTACGACTAACAGAAACGACAAATAGAAGCATATCGGATGATTGATTTATCAACAGAAGGGGACTTTTAGATGGCTACACTGCTGACCAAGTAGTCTACAAGTGGTCATCAGGGTCGCCAGATGCGCTGAAGCTACACAAAATCCGACTCCCAGATTTCACCATCAAGGAAGCATACGTGACAAGTCAGATGGAACCCTATGCGACAGGTGCGCAGCATATTCAGCTTGTGGACGTCTACTAACTGCATTCTATTCAGGAAATTATTCCCGGTTATATGTTTGTTTCGTGTTCTCACGTTCGTCGGGATTTTGTTTTCTGCAGCTGATCATTCCATCCACAGCAGTAGTTATAACCTCATGGGTGTCGCTCTGGATGGAAAGCGAAACGGAATTTCAGGTAAAAAAGAGTGCAATTTCAAAAAGGTCTCTCTCTACCGATCAGAATCTCATTCAGGACATGATCTCTATAATTCTCGCTATCACCTTCTTAATCTTTTCTTACAACGAAATGATGCCACGGGTCAGCTATATCAAGGCAATGGACATTTATCTAGGTTTGGGATAAGCGGAATGATATTTGAGAGAAAACACCAATTTGCTTAGGCGTTTGTTTCATGATTGTATTCCTCTCTTTGATAAAATTGGCATTTGTAAAGTATATGAGGCAGAAAATCAAGATTGAAAGGTGCGTAAGCTTCGCTATTTTCTCTCAGCTTCTTCTTGACAATGAAGAATTTTATAGTGAGAGCTTTCATTCCATGACCGCACTTGTGCCAACGCCGCGTCCATCGAATGGGGCGGTGGCACTACCTCCGCCAAGAGCAGGGACAAACCTAATTCTCCGCAACGGGAAGTAAGTATTACTTGATAAAGGAAGAAAGGGCCTGAAGGACTCTGTCACATATTTCCTAGTTCATCTTTCGTTCACAACGAATTTGCGAGACTGGAAATAGCGCACACACGCACTGGATAATTTGTAGAGATAGCAAACATGTGTCACCGCAAGTTTCAAACGAAAAAAGCTGCAGAATTTCAAGGCTTTTTGAAAAAGATAGAAGTCGACGGTTATATTTCAAAAAAAAATCTTGACCTAACCAATTACTGCACTTTAGGCTCAACACTGAATACGTGACGGTTCCCATTGCTGACATGGAGGATTCCTATATCGCCGAAATTGACAAAGGAGGTCTCGGTAAGGTTCCTCTACCTATCCAGTAACTGTATAAAGAAAAAGTTGTGCTGTAGTGCTGAGTACCATAAAAAACAGATATGTGTATTTTGCATGTTTATGCTGAACATACCGCCATAATTAATGAAGTAAGCTCAAGGAGGTGACGTTGTTGGGTCTACGTTGAAATCATATCGATGTCGACGATTCTGACACACAGCAAAAGTTGAATCTATTTCTTCTAACATAGGCCTTTGGTTCTGTTGTTTGCGTTACGATTCACCCTACCCCTTCTTGCAAAAGAAAAGCTGAATGCTGATTATATCTCTTTTGAAATATCCACTTTGAGATGCAGATCAGCTGGACAGTTGCCTCTTCCCTCCTTAAGATTCATCAGTCTTTATAGGTGATAAAATACTCAACCTCATGGACTTCCAAGTCACGCCTCGTACTCTGCACAGATTTCAGTGGATCACACAGGTTTGTATGCAGTACAAGAAAAAAAAATAGGAAATGTTCCTCAATTTACATCGTTTTTCAGATGATGTTCTTCTTCGGATTCGTCATCTTTTGTCTCTTCTACTTCTTGGTCTATCCAAATTTACACAATGCCATGGTTGATCCGAATTGCGATAAAAAGGAAGCAGAATCATTTGCCGAGATCATCTAATCAATCAGCTAATAATCGTATCAGTTGTCAAACAAGCCATCACGAAATCATTTCAAGTGCTCTAATTCGGCGGGTCTACGAATGCTAACCTATATTCACATGTAAGATTCGCAACTTTCAAGGCAGGGCCGACCGCGTCGCTATGCACATGCTACGAAGCAGTCGCTTTCTTCAACATTCCCAAGTAATTATGACATATCAAAGAAAAATGTGCAATGCGAACCCTTCGGTGTGCTCAAAATCAAGATGATAAGAGTGCGGGTCAACATGTGAAAATGGGACAATTCATTTTGAAAAAAACAGTGTTCGAGCGATTGGAGTAGCTGTAGTATGAGTATATAACATGACGGGTTGTTCATGAAGCACTCCTCCTGCATTTCATAGTTGTTTTCTAAACTCTCAACTAAAGAATTGTCATCTATCAAGTTCCTATTGAATGTCACATCAAACTCCCCACGTATCCACTATTTGTTTCGTTCCTTAAAAAAGTTTATTAACCTTTTGCTTCTGATATTCTTGCGGCTAAGTCAGCCATGTGCGCAAAACCAAAACTCCCACTTTCAGCACGGGCGCTCCCAATTTGAAGGATGGGCAAAGAACTAAAAGATTGGAGGAACTCCTTAGAAACTAACGGGTGCAGTATCGAATTACAGAATCACAGCTTTGTTTACGAAGTTAAAGCTGGCATCCTGGGGCGGTATTTATCAATCTCCCTCTCTCGGGCGTTTTGCATCGTTATAAACAGCCCGGACACGCGAGAGTATTCAAGCCGTACTTTGGTTAGCATGGCCCCAACAGGCGGCAGAGCCCGATCTGTCGCAATCGGACCTGAAGTGCCCACATGGCCAAACTTGCCAGATCGGAACCTTGAGCCGTCCTGGGCAGTCCTGCACTGTCCTGTGTGCATAGGCTCAAGGGTCCGATCATCATCGGCATCGGAGATCCAGACAGTAGTGATGATGGGAAAGTGTAGTGATGGGAAATTCTGATAATTATTGTTCCAATCCAGCCTTCTATTTTATACAATTTGATATGTATTGCTTTCATCAGTCAAGAAATAAGACTTTTCGATTGACTTACGTATTTCTGCAATTCTAACTTATCCCAGTGCTTTAAATAGTGCATTATTGATATTTAGGATGAACTGGCCGTTTCCGGGACCTTTCAAAAAAAAGTGACTTTAGTCCCTCAATTTGACTTCATTATTGTTGACATGGTAATTGCAGGTGCATGTCAATACAAAACTATGCTCGAAAATCGAAAGGAAGGGAGAAAACAGTGAAAAACGGGTTTTCAAATATATGCGATATGCAAACTACTTTACGCCAGCAGGCGTTTTTGATATGCGCCCGCTCTCGCTGCTGGCGTGCTGTCTTTCCACAGTAGGTTCCCAAAGAGGCATGAGAGGGATGTACAAGAAATTGATATATACCGCCCTTAATCTCTTCCAGAAGATTTATCGTACGTACCATCAATGAAAGTCTCTGCAAGTGATAGGTTAAAGACCGCAAATGAAAGACTTCCAAATTTACGATACTCCAACTTGCAACGGTGAATTCTGCCTCGAGATTACGGCTTCACTTCCCTCACTTGGGCAGGGTCTCACCTGCATCAAAAAACTTCGGACCGCATCCCTAAGATGGTACATTTTATGCGCACTTACGGTACTGATAATATGTACCGCTTTCGGTTTCAATCTTAAGATAGCGATTTCTTGGCCTAGAGCATATCGCACAAAATTACCGTCTTAGACCGAAGACACTATATCTTTTTCCGGGAACACCTACGCTAGGTTCGAAGGCTCTTACTCAAAAAGGATGACAAAAATAATGGTAGAGAAACAGCACTCGGTTTCAGTGGTAACTGTAGCCTGCTTTTCTAAGACAGTGGTTCCACTTGCTGTGCTACAGAGTAAGTATACAACGCGTGCTCTCTCCTCAAAAACAATTTCCAGCCACATCTGCCACCATCGTACAAGATAATATCGAGCTCTGCATTTGAGGCAAGAGAGCAAAACGAGTATGTATACTCATTCGTATCTATGCGAATGTGTCGTCGTATGGTGTCTAACAATAAGAGTAGCCCATGCATTACTTTCTCATTCATTCTACAGCTGTTATCCTCGCTATTCGTTGTTCATATTGTCACTAAAGGCCCCTGCAATGTTCGTTGTTGCAAACAAGATTTCTTGCGTGGATTTGAGCTTTGTTAGCTTTAGACCGCTTCCAAAAGGTTTACGAGTATTTTCTTTACTTATTTGTTCATACATGAGATGTCTATTTGTATTGTGTTTCACCAATAAACATCAAATAAAGAGGAAGTTTAGTCCCATATTAATTATAACTTCTCCTACATAACGATACCAGAGAGGGAGAAAAAAATTTCGTTGAAGTTGAGAAAGATTAAAGCTCACATTCCTCTACTTCCTAGGCCTTGTATGGTCTACGTTTATGATACATCATTAAATATGGAAAAGTGTTTTTGCAAGATAGCTAACCAGAGATAGAGATTATAGGTACATAAGTTGACCCAAAAAATGAAAATCGTGAATCTCGCTAAAACTTCGTTTAGGGGGGTTATTTGGTACGCTGAACACGAATATGATGTTTATTGCGTGCGACAGCGCCATCCGGTGGAGTTACGGTAGGATTACGGTAGGGGGTAAAAATCACGGATTTGCCCGAAATTTGGCCCAGAGGGGTTATTCGGCCCGCTCATGCCACATATCACGTTGGTTTTGAACCGTAGCGTCATTTTCTCGGGCTACGGTAGATACACGGTAACAGGTGTAAAACATAGTTCATCCCGAAACGGGTGTATGGCGATTCGGATGATCGTGAAGCTTTGCAGACATGACCACCGCCGCGCGCTACACACTCTGCTGCGGCTTTTGCCTAAGCAAAGCACAGGGGAAAGATACATTTGCCGATTTGTGATTTTGACTCCTACCGTAAACCTACTGTAACCATGCAGGGAGACGTTTTCGTGCGAAGAAAGTGTGACATTTCTAATCAGCATGTCGAGTAACCCCTCTGTGCAAAGTTACAGCGAATTTCGAGATTTTGACCCCCTACCGTATACCCACCGTAACTCGAGAAAATGACACTACAGTACGAAACCAATGTGATATTCGGCGTCAGCGGGCCGAAATAACCCCTCTAGGCCAAGTGTCGGGCAAATCCGTGATTTTGACCCCCTACCGTAATCCTACCGTAACTCCACCGGATGGCGCTGTCGCACGAAATAAACATCATATTCGTGTTCAGCGTACCAAATAACCTCCCTAGACGAAGTTTTAGCGAAATTCACCATCTTCATTTTTTGGGTCAACTTATGTGGAATAGCGCCAGATTATATTACTGTCAAATTTCATATGTTTGCAATGTCAGAATTATTGCAACGCACCATGTGACCTGTCGCTGAACGATAGCACTCTATATCGCATTCATGACAGTACGACCCACCGGTGTCGTATGCTTTTTTGAGTTTTTGATTTTGCTAATTTACGATGAAATGTTTCGGGCGAACTGAACAAACCTCCTCAGACAATCACAGGCTCTCAGCCGGCAGCCACAAAGCCACCAGCCTTCAGCGCGAAGCGAAACCGCCGCGGCCCGCTTTATAGCAGCCCGCTCGCTGCCAGTTCTGACACGGTTCTCAGCGGGAAGCGACAGTGAGGCGATGAGGCCACCGCGCTTTTGGTGGGTTTTCGCGGTGGCCTTGTGGCTGCCGGCTGAGAGCCTGTGATTGTCTGAGTCTGTATACATCTCTTGTAATACCCAAAAGAATAATACTTCAGACCATAGGATCCATCAGTGGCCAGAAATATTACGAAAACTGAATATTGCGAAATATACTCTAGTCCGAAATGGCAGCCACTGAAAAATTCGCTTTGTCGTAAATGTGATATAAAACGCTGCCATATGTGCGATGGTCTAGAGATAGAGCCTCAAAAGAAAGACTAGCGGTTCGAGCCGTCCCTCATAAAAAAGCTTTTTGATGGAAGCAGTTGAAGAAGAAAGCAAAACGCTGACCAAAATGTGTTGCAAAAATTTGAAATTCTTTTGCGATTGGCGAGCTTTCGCTTCGAGTTTTCAGTTGTGAATCCGCAAAAATGAAAGTGACGCATCTGTCAGAATTACTTCATGAATAGAGGTCAGAGATGGTGAGAGGAAAATCAGAAGAACATGGAAACAAAGGACCCCCTATGAAAAAAGGAATATCTTTTGTAAATTTTTTGTCCTCTCTTGTTGAAACCTCGGAATAATTCGATTGTGTCAGTATAATGTAGCCACCACGAGGTTTGGATGATGGCCTCATGCCACTGATGTAATAAAGATGCCTGATGCCTTACATCAGTGGCCTAACGCCACTGATGTGATAAATAGCTTCACCCAAACCTCGTGCAGGAATATGGACACAATCGGAATATCTTCTATTACAAACACTGTTTGGTTACGGCCGGCCAACACACATTTCTTGATGACTACTTCGAATTCCTACCCCTATCCCGTTTGCTCCGATTCGGTAAGTTTTTCGCGCTCTAATTCTCTCAAGCAAGGAAGAAATATATGCGACATCAATGCGAGGAAACGCTCCAGAAAAGGACAAATGTCTTACACCTTCTTATCAGATGGACGACGCTGTCCTTTGTTACCTTCATTGCCAATTCGTAAAGGCAGTATCCTTGCGAAATTTCGTTTGCCAGTGTTTTTCACCTTTTCGGAACATTCTCGCCATGAGGAATCCATATATGAACTGCTGCGCATAAAACTAGCGAAAGTGAGCTTTTGAAGCTTTCCAGGTCCAAATTCAGTGGAAAATAGTGGAAGTGGGCGGAGTCCGGAGCAAGGAGGCGCGAGCGTAGACAGTTGAGAAAACATTATTTATTGATTTTATGAATCATCTTGCCTAGCTTTGTGATTACGATAGAAATACCGTGTTCAAGGACTTTCCCGCAACCCTGTATAAAATGAAATATACAGCTATACCCTTCCTTTCAGAAAAGTTCCCGGGAGGACCCAGATTCTTTCATTCCGTCTAACAGGGTGTCCCAAAAGTAGGTAAACACTTTTCAATCGCCAATATCTCTCTTCCCAATGGGTCTTTTTTTGCCAGCCAATCATTCTGTACAGGAGGCTTCAATTTAGATTTACAATATCGATCAAATTACATATCGCTCTTTTACTGTAGGACTACGGTAAGAACTTTCAGCATGTGGAACCATCGTGACATATGATCTGACAAAAATTTTTCAAAGAATCTGAAAAATAATGTACTAAGATTTTCGAGCACGCTGAGTTATTAGGTTTTACCTGGGATAACTTTGAAAAGAAACATCATAAAGTGGAAATTTCATATTCGAAATCAGCGGCTTCCATTACCATAGTAACAGTGTTTTTGGCTTGTTTGGTTTTGTTCCGAGGCAGAATATGGTTTTCAATGACCTAAAATCCTTGTCGAAGTTCCTACAGTAATCCTACAGTAATGAAGAGCGACAGATGATTCGCTCCATACTGTGGATCTAAGTTGAAGCCTCCTCTATAGAATAGTGCTTGAACGGCGAAAAAAGACCCAATGAGAACAGAGATATCAACAATTGAAAAGTGTGTACTTACTTTTGGGACACCCTGTATATTACCCTCTTGTCCCAAAAGTTTTGTCGGTTTTTTTATCGCTCATTAAAACACGCAGAATACCAATCCCTAGACGATCTAGGTACAATTCAATTCATATTATCCTCTTTTTTACAGCTATAATTGCTCTCTGATTTACTCTGTCTTTGCGATGCTATCGCCATGGATTTTTGAGCAGCTCAGCCATAACGCCAAATCTTTCCTGGATTTTGAAAAAAATTTCTCACGCTATTTTCTGAGAGCGCTAATAACTGTTATGTAGAGCAGATCTTTGGCTACATTGTAATTATTTTAGATTAAATAGGCCACGTTTATCAAGCCCTAAATAATTATTTATATAAGAATAACCGCGGTCTTTTGATTCGTCTACCACGTAAAATTACCGGAAATTCCAAAAAGCTGATTTTTCAAAACAAATTAAACTTGGTTATGTTGCATAACTAATGTTTATTAGCAATTAAGTTTCAATTTTTTCTTCAAATTCTAAAAGCTTTCATGTTTCTGCTGCAGTTGCGTTTCTCATGACTTTGACAAAAATGGAGACCTCCGAAGAAATAAATTTCCAAAGTTAAAAGTTAAAAGCAGGTTAGAAGAATCTAAAAATGATACTGCATAGTCCGAGAGTTGTTCTATTTGCGCCATACTTAACCTTTTCAGAAACTTTGGAATAAACTAGTCACCTAAAAGCTAGCCTAACTTTAAGCAGATAAAAATGACGGGTGGAGAGTTATAACGAGAAAATATAATCATAAGAAAGAGAAGAAAAAGCTGCATCGAATGCATGTTGAATCTCATTCAAGTCTTTATTTTGAGCGGTTTTATAGCGGTTTGGAAACAACCGACAAAACTTTCGGGACAACCTAATATAAGCGAGGAAGGAAATTGAAATGGAGGATAAGCTAAACACATGCTATCTCCAACTCCGAGCGTTAAATTGTGCAGCAATCTTACTAGTACTGTGAAACAGCATCCATCAATTTATCGACTCCGCAATGCTCTCTACCGCTGGAAGGCAATACATTGAGACACAGCAAGAGAAGGTATGTCAGCTAGGATGAACGAAATGGTAGCAACGATAGTGCATTTTTACAAGAGTGATTTAGGGCTTCTTTACTCAGAACCGAACAACTTACATGTGGCACCAGCTGAAGCTGATCATGCCAGTAAAACATGCATAATTTTAATGCTCAGGTTAACTCAAGACCTCGATCTAGGCATTAGAATTGAGTTATTGTTCGAAAGATATTCATTTTAATCACAAATTCTCATAATTACACTGATATAAGTTCGTTCCGAATGTCTCACATTTTGGACAAAACTGGCAATTCATTAATGCTTTATCATCATAGGCAGCGTCTAGACAAATAATAATCTATGTTTCTGCTCCTTTGTGCCTTTGTATCGCGCTGATTCAGACCGCGGACCTTGTAGCACAAACTGAGTACGATTTTGACAGGAAATTCTTGAAATGCAATGCCAACGACTAAAAAACGAAGGTATACTCGCTTAGTTCTTGACGAACACATTTCACAGAGAATTCAAGGCGAATTGAGGAAGAGGTCGCAATTCCAACTGTATGTTAACATAGCGAATAAAATTGCCCATCTGAAGTACCCGTTTATTTTGTATACGCATAAAACACTACGGAATGCAAACGTAGTCGTTGTTGAGCCCCAGAGCTGATCGTAGCATCCAATGAACATCTTGTAAGCGATCACCGTTGTCTCGCAAATATCGATGCAGCTTAAATGAAAAACTTCGTCTCAAGTACTGACACGTCATTTTCTCCGCCTCACTTCCACGCAATTATTCTGATTTGCATGCGTATATGCGTATTGACTGATAACCTAACATCCACGGAAACTGATCCGCATCTAACCAAACGTCATATTGTAAGAAGCTATGCGCATGAAAGTCACCATGTCATCTTCATAGGCAGTGTCCGAGCAAAATTATGTTCTTTTTCAATAAAACACGATTATAGCCACAATCAAATCAAGTCAATGCTTAAATTAAGCAGGAAGCTCCAGTTTGCGTTTTTCTCATTACACCTAAGGTCTCGGGCAGAGTTTCTCAATAGCGACGATGAAATTAAATTTGTTGCAGGAGCTAAAATTACTGCATCCATGTTCGCTGAGCTTCAGCCTTTATTTTTGTCTTGCTAAAAGCAGGAATTAACTATAAACCAAATCATATGCACCTAATTAGAGGTCAAAGGCCTCGAGCAGAGTTCACGCGATCTCATCGTCGCGACTAACCGCGACAAGACTGTAACAATATCATTGCATGCCGATTTTCTTGCGTTTCGGTGGTTTCGGTAGTGTGATAGTTTTCTAACACGACTAATTGTGACTAACTATCACAACCGAAGTGCAAGAAGATCGGCATGCAATGAACTCGCACTTGTCTTGTAGCGATGAATCGCGACGATTAAATCGCGTGAACTCTACCAGAGGCCTAAGAGTGGCTGGGGCAGAGACTGCCTTCAGGAAGTGTGGTTTTATTTTTGAACTGAGAGCCTTTCAGCCAGCGACCGTTTGTTGGCAGTGCCGGCAGAATTTCGTTTTTCAGATTTTCACCTTATCGGAGCCTTCTCGCTATGGCCCAAATCTGGGCTTCTCAACGCATGAAAATAGCGAAAATGAGCTTTTCCCAATTTCTAGGGTCCGCATTCAGTGGAGAATACGTGCAAGAGGACGGGGCCCGGAACAAGGGAGGCGGGGCGTGGAAGGCTTTCGGCGCAACTTCACTGAATGCGGACATGGAAAGGTTCGGAAAAAGCTCATTTTCGCCGCTTTCAAACACTGAAAAGAACAGGTGTGGATTCCTCATGGCGAGAAGGCTCCAAAAGATGAAAAAACTGAAAAACGATCAGCCGAGATATTGCCTTTGAGGACTATATTTTGCCGAGAAGGATGGTCCCTCGCGGATATCTGCAAACGAGCAACTTCTGAGCAAAAGCTGCTTGATTGATGCAGATATCCACGCAAGACCTCCCCATTCGGCGATATCCTCTACCCCTTACGCATCGGTCAAAGTTCACGCGATTTCGGATATCACGCTTGGTGCTGCCTCAATACTTCTAGTTCACCGCGTGCAGATCTCATTGTCAGATGCACAGACACACAGTTTTCGTGAACTATGAGAGCGGTCATTCTTGCTTACCGAAAATGCGCTTACGGACAGTTATGAGCTATCGTAGCAGTGCCAAATCCCGCGATACCCTGGAACACGGAGTTACGACCGATGCCCTAGCCTAAGACATAAAGTGCTGCATGAAGAAGGCGCAGAAGTAGTAGCTGAGCGGGAGCGAATGCGGCGCGCGCGTGTCGTCACCGTTGTAAATCCTGCGCCTCATGCGCTCTGCACCTAATAAAGCCGCGACCGCGCCCAAAGGTATTGCGCTCTCGTTGTGCAGCAGCCTTTACATACTCGATTCCGTCAAATCGCCATATTTTCGCGAGTTGGGGATTTGCCAAATGTCTTCATAACCGTGCGCAGGCCTCAGATGCATAGCGCGTAGCTTCCTCGGTTGTCGCGTGAAGTCTGGCCTAAGCAAAGCGCGCTTGCAACCAATTAGGTATGAGGAGTCGTTACAATGCCAGATCGCACAGTGACTGAAATCGCGGGATTTGTGACTTAGGCCCTGCGCATATATACCTCTCGCGATTTCAGTTACCACGTGATTTGGTCATTTGCCAGATTTCTTCAGGCCCAACACTCGCAGACCACAAATGCTTCGTGTATTCAGCTTTTGTGAGTCAATAAAGTATGCTATTTCCCGCGCGCTCAAATTAAGTTTGCGACTATAAGCAACTGGAATATTGCCAAGTTTTGTCACGACTGAAAACGCGTGAGGCATGCCCAGCGCCTAAGGGCCGCGCATACCTCACGCGATTTCATCGCCTGGCGTTTCTTTCAACAAGACAATTGTCACATGATTGCATGCCGATCCTCCTGCATTTCGAATATGATAGTCTTCCGACACAACTAATCGTGATCAACTATCAAAACCAAAATGCAAAGCGATCCACATGCAATGGACTCGTAACAGTAAAGGATATTTATCGACGACTGCTCCGACTCGTACAATCACACCACTTTGGGCGTGCCTTATTGGGGCCTTTCCAGCTCGACAGTACGCTGCAGCGCGCAGATACTTGGTAGCTCGCAGTATCCCTGTTCTTTCCCTGTCCTGTCCTGTCCTACTGTCAAGCTGGAAAGCTCCAAAAAAAAACACGTTCGCGGTGGTGCAATTGCACTAGTTGGGGCAGTCGTCGACGGATATCCTTTAGCCAGTGGCGGTCGCAGGATTTCGGACCGGGGGGAGGCGACAAAAATTTTTTTTCAGATGAAGGTGCGTGGCGTTAGCCACGCACTCGGAAAAAATTTTTGGGGTGCTTCTCAAGATTTTTGCGGGTCCCCAACCCCTAAAATCTAGGAAAAGGGGCCTGACCTCAGCCACGCCCCCGAAAAAAATTTTTTTATAAGGCTAATTTGAATTTTCAAAATTTTTAAAAATAATTTAATTATTTACAAAAATAAACATTTGTTTACAAAATGAACATTCGTTTGCACATTTTTATAACCCATAAAGGCAAGTTTCAAAAATTTCGCGACCTATTTTCGGGGAGGGGGGGGGGGGGGGGACCGCCCCCTCTCCCCTCAGTCCGCCACTGCCTTTAGCTGTCTTGTTGGAAGAATGGCGAGGCGATAAGATTGAGTGTATTATGCTCGAGACCTTAGCCGTTGGAACCGAATATTCGTATTTGAATAATTTATTCGAAATAATCAAATATTGAAAGCCCATTTACTCGATTATCCAAGTAGTCGAATATATGGAACGCCTGCAACTTTGTGCAGGGAGGAGGGTTACCTGATGCGCTGCTCAAGGATATCGCTCTAACTTTGCAAAATAAAACATTCTCTTGAATATTTGGGATCTGAATTGGAGTGAAAAGCGGAAAAGTTATTCAATTGTACACTGTGAATTTCGGTGACTCCACAATAAGACATTATTGCAGTGAGCAAGTATGATATTCGCAGAGAGCATGCTTGAGAACTCCTCTAGGCTAAATTTTGAGCAAATTTGGGGACTTCGACCCAACTAACGATACCAACTTTACCCCAAGAATATGGCGCTATTTTGCGAGTTCAATTACGATGTACATTCTCAGCATGACCAGTGAACCAGTAATCTAAAGCTGCTATTTGGAAAAGCGTTCGCGGATTCCGCCACGCGGTTTCCCGCTAATTGCAGATTTTTGAATGAAGTTATAGGCCGTCCGCGCTGCGCACGGAGAGCAACGCTGTTGCGTACATGAAGGCAGTTCACGACTAGAAGAAGCGCAGAGAGAACAGGCGGCGAGAGTGCACGAGAAAAGAGGAGTGACGCGCAATACACACCTTGCGCACTCTCCGCGCTCTGCGCAGACGGCCTATAATGACTCTTTATATTAGAATAGATAAATCTAGAAGGATGATCCCTAAATTACACCTACCGCAACCATACAGGGAAACATTTTCGTGCGAAAAAACTGTGATATTCATGATCAGCATGTCGAATACTCCTCTGTGCACAGTCAGCCAGATCTGAGAGTTCCATCCCATACCGTATGCTTACCGTAACTCCTCGATAAGAGCTGACTTTGGAAATGAATATCTTTACGTGATTAGCAGTCACGAAAAGAATAACTCCTTATGCAGGTTTCCCACGAAGCCCGGTAATTGTAAGTCTTTGGGTAATATAAAGTGGAATAACGCTCCTCAACTATGTTAATCAGCCAAGACTTGTATCGGTTTTCCTCATGGGTCGTGTGATATTTGGCATTTCACGCGTTTCAAAGTCCATGGCCGATTCAGCGCAGTGCGATGAAAAGGCCCAAAAAGAAATTGCAAAATTTGAAATCAAATTTGCCGGGACACTGACTACAATCTCTGAAGATTCCATTTTGGTAAACAGTTTTACCCACCTCTTCCACGGTATTCAATCCTATCTCCCTCATCGTCATATCGTATAACCTCGCCATTCGCAGTTCAGCGGCATATTCTAGTTTGCGTATCAGCGGTAAGTTCGCTGCTATCAAATAAGACTCCACTTCACGAAGTACGGTGAGCATGCGATATTGTGAAGCCAAAATGCTCATGACTTGATAGTTATCTCTGAATATATAGATCTAAACAAATGCTACCAAGTAGAGACAAGCAGAAAGCATACTTATGAATGATGACTGATCCAAAGCGAGCAGTAGCGTGCAACAGAATCTTAACGTCCTCAGGTGGAATGTCAGTGACTTCGACAAAATCAACTCCTGCCTCCTAAAGATCGGGCAGATAAATGTTTTAATGCTCAGCAAAGGTGAGAAATAGTACATGCCTGTTCCACTTTCCAGCCTTTAAATAATGGACCACCAAGCTCCGCCAAGAGACGCAGATCGACGTGAAAATTGTATGGAGGGCACTTAAAGCTAGATATTAATTGGAAGAAGCGGGTCAGGATTTGTTTGCGATAAACCGGAAGTTCACTTCTAACTATAAAATAAAGAATTCCAACTGAAAATGAGGCATATCGCTTGGAAAGCTGCATGTGATATCCCTTGCCACTACAGTCTGTCTCAATTGTACTATCTCTCCATTCGACCGACACCTCATGAGCGCTTCGCGCACCGTTTCGCATGCCTTTAAGCAACCAAAACGGCCTTCTATCAAAAATCAGTAAGAGAGCGTAATCAGATACTGATAAGTGCATCCGTTGGGCATTTTGAGATCTTATATGGAAATGTAAAAAAATAGCGGACCCACTCGCACTTCGAAATTCCTATAGGCCGTCGGACGATTTAAGTCTACTGGCGATAGTAATTGGATAGTACAGGCAGAAAGGACAATCGACCCGCTACAATTTGTCTGCTTTTCCAATACAACTTTGCCTGGTTCCCATAAGTCTCTGTTGATCTGCAAAGCCTCTAAGAAATTTCCGCTCTGGATTTCCAGAACTTACCTTTATTTTCTCACGGTCTATAGTGAGCGTATAGTCAACCAAGATAGCAATGTTCAATGACTCGACAGGTAAAATCCGTAATGTAATATTGCTTGTGCTGGCAAGTTCTCGAACCTGTAACCACTAACATGCTCTTTATGGCAGTGCTAAAAGCTTTGTTTACACATCTCAAATACTTTCAAGAAGCCAAATGGAAGTTGTAAAGTGAACATTGAAGGTGCATGAACTCTGGCTTCCCAAAAAATGTCACGTGTCCGGAATCTGCTTGAAACTCCTAGCCTAAAGTTACTTTAACTGCTGCATCTGTTTTATAGGAAACATAAGGGATGCGCGTCTACAAGCTATCTACTACTTTTCGCAGGCAGTCACAAATCAGAAACGTGCCGGAAGAAAGTGCTGGAGTATTCAGACCAGTTTTTCGGTGTCTACATCTCAGACAATGGATCGGACCCCTCCGCTGGGCAAGCCGAAACTGCCAGACTCGCGCCGGACCCAATTGACCAATGAGAGCGGGGCAAATGGGCGGTCCCTCGCGTGACATCACTGCCAGGCAAATGGGAGGCTTCTCCGGCCCTGCTGCAAAGGTCCGCCATTTCTCCGGCGCGACCCTGGCAGATTTGCCAGGCTCGCGCCGGACAAATTTGTCCGGCGCGAGCCTGGCAAATCTGGCGGAGTCGCGCCGGAGAAAATGGGAGGGGTCCGGAGCAGAAATGGGAGGCCTCCGGAGCAGAAAATGGGAGGTATCCGGAGCAGAAAATGGGAGGTATCCGGAGCAGAAAATGGGAGGTATCCGCCGGAGAAATGGGAGGTATCCGCCGGAGAAATGGGAGGTATCCGGAGCAGGCTGCGTATCAATTTGGCGCGTAGCAAGCAAACGTCTAACTCCACGGTGATGAGTCCTCTGTTTACGCTCTTTGTCCATATTTTAGTCGCCGTTTCTTTGATTCTGTTGTTTTTGCGCGTTTCTTTACCGTTTTTTCCTTTTCCGCGTTGCTCTTCGTCGCGTTGGCGTTTATGTTGCTGTAAGTTCCTCGTTTTCAGGTTTATGTTTGAAATTTTCGTGCGGTTGCACTCAATCACCTTCAGTGTTTGGCTCTTTCCGACTTGCTGAGACATCGTAGACTATTGATGGAGTGGTTTTTGTGATTAATTCTGGATTTTCGAAACAATGAGGTTAGTTGCGCAACTATCTAGTGTTATTGTGATGAAAGTATCGTCTAAATAATCCGTGTTGTTGTTCCGTGTCACACAGTGCTTACCAGCCTGGCTAACGAGCGTTTTATGCAAAGAATATACCTTTAGGTAGAAAAAGATATAAAGGATGCATCTTTGGTAGGATAGGTAGTTTTTTGTTTTTGAACTGCGATACTCGAAAACGCTTTGCACACGTTACACAGGCTCAAACATGTTTGCTCTCTGATTTCCAAGATTGTTACATCCAAGATAAATTAGAGCACATGTTTCAACTTGTTAATCACACGTGTCCAAAGCTTTTCGAGGTTGTCTCACACGAAACGATAATCATTTCATTCCTTTACCGTAGATATATCCACCATTTGCAACTGATGCCAACTGCGTTAATCAAGCTGCTGTACAATAACTTGCTTTGTAAGCATAAGTTGTAATCGCTCATATCGCGAATTCACTATGAATGCGGGTTTGAACTTGCCGCCGAATGCAAATTTATTTTCCGCGGCGCGAAGTTGGCGTAATCAAACCATTATTTGGTTTTTTCTTCATTTCTTTCATTCACATTCTTAACAGCAAGCTTTGAAAAATTGCTTTTCCAAGCACTTTCCGCAATCAAATCTAGGAAGGAACATAAAGCACGTTTTTCAAAAGAGTTCTGATTAATCACTCCTCTTTGTAGACGTCTTCTAGCTAATATAACCGCTTGAAGGCGTTTTCTTCTTTCATATTCTTTGTGCCTACTTCAGTTGGTAAGGGCTACGCTTGCAGTTCTGGCTTATCCCATATCATCGGCAGTCAGTCGTCCTTATGGTTATTTTAGAGCTGCTTCTTGCAAACTTCATCTATCTTCATCGATCGTTCACTTCATTATTCACAATCGTTTCTGGTTCAAGTTTCTTTGAATAAAGCAAGTTTTTAGCATGGACTACTTGTTGGATCGGTATTTGTTCGATAACTTGCCTTTCACAGTCTCGCCTGAAACTAGGAAAGGTATAGGTCAGAAAGCTGTCACCAGGGGTCCAGGTGAGGTTTTGTACCGTGTTACGTTGAGGTCTTTAGTGAGTTTTTGGAAAGCTCTTTTGTTTTACTTTATCTCCATGAGAAAGTTGCTCAATTTCAAGCAGTTTAATTCGGTATCAGCTTCGGTAAGCCTATCGTCATGGCGGTCGGTATCTATACACATGGATTGCCGTAACTGTACATGCGTTTGTCATCGAAACACTAGCTATCTCTGTACCAGAATTGAATCTTTATTGGCATGCACAGGTATTTATCTTTCTTCTCAGCAACACTCGACTTCATAATTATCCTGTTTAGGGTATGTTGAGCTTTTTTGGAATGAGAGTTCCTCTCTATGCCCTTTTTGGATTTCATCAAATGTTTCTCTACACATCCTATGTCCTTGTTAGCAGGTATTTATTAGTCCACAGAATTTTCATACATTTTTTACTAGCGGGAAAATCTTCCGATCAAAATTGTAGACGTAAATTTTCGGATAACGGTTAAGAGTTTCTGCACGGTCCTGTTTTTCGAACAGCTTGTGAAGGGGGGCGCCTACCCCGTTCCCCCCTCCCCCCCCCAACTTGTTGCTTCATTAAAAATTGATCGCTGGCTAATCCTTCTTCAGCTTTTTTCACCAATACAGGTCAAGTCAGCTCAGGCCTTATAACAGTAACAGTAATTTCAGTCTTGGATAGAAATCACTTCTAAGTTCCCCTTGTCCACTTTGGTGATTGTGAGCGTAAATTTATATTTATTGCCATTTCAGAATGCGCCTACCTTGGTGGGGTGAAGGGCCTGCAGTTGGCCTGAGTTCTGTGATGCTTCAATTACCATTCCGTATGTTAGGTACGAAATTGCTGTGGTGGACGTGGCACGATACTGATCCAACGATTGAAGACAGGCCTTTTTTCGTCTTTTCTTGGTGTCCTCGATTTTCCACATGCATACAGAATGTTCTGGACTCCATGGAGCTCTTTATACTTTTATGCCGCATGTGCTTGTTCTTTTGTATGGATGCTCCGACTAACTAGACGCTTGTTGCTTGAAAAGGAGTATGACTGGATGAAGTAAGCGGTCATCTAATGTAAGACGAGCTGGAATTTAAAACACGCCATCTTCAGATTCCCAAAGGAGTTGACATGCTCCTTTCTAACTGGAGTACTGTCGTACTGGCTAGGAACCGCACAGTTTGTCTGTTTTGTTTCATGTTGCACAGAATGCTTTTTGATCTTTTTCTCATTTTCTTACCATGTTAAAACCATATGCTTATACTGTGGTGTTACAAGGTTCTTTTTGCAACTAGGAAATTAGTTTTTCTTTCAATATTCTTATTTCTAACTCCTAGTATGGTTTTTGTAATATGAATTAACTGTTGTACGTATGCTGGAGATAGATAGATAGATTTTTCGAAAGTTTGAAAAATTTGAAGTAAATGTCTTATCTCTTCGTTCTTTCTTCTATTTTCTATCCACAAACGCTAGGGGTGAGAGGGAGGGGGTAGAGTACGGGGTGAGGGTCGCGCTAAACTCCTACCCGGGGGGGGGGTCCTATTCGGCTTATTTGGGTGGGGTTTAGAGACAAAATTGGGGTTTGGAGCTTAAAGGCAGCGTCCAGGCAAGTCTGGACCTATGGGGATTTTACATGGAAAGTATTTTGGGGCCCTAACTAAGCCACTACCCAACCGGCAGCTCAAGTAGTGCTCTAACGCCTGAGATATTCTGCTCGAAACCGGACCCCGCGACCGTGTTTCGCATGGATTCATGGCGCAAAGCGTGGATCCTGGCGCGAAACTGCCATGAATCCATGCGAATACGTTCGCGGGGGTCTGTTTCGAGGGGAATATCTCAGCCATTGGAGCACTACCTGAGCTGCTGCTTCGGCAGTGCCTTAGTTAGGGCCCCAAAAGTACTTTCCATGTAAAAGCCCCATAGGTCCAGATCTGCCTGGAAGCTGCCTTTGATTAGGGCTAATTACAGTATGCCGCGATCGGGGGGCTCCGGCGCACAAAATCGGGGGGCTCCGGAGCAGAAAATGGGAGGTATCCGGAGCAGAAAATGGGGGGTATCCGGAGCAGAAAATGGGGGGTATCCGGAGCAGAAATGGGAGGTCTCCGCCGGAGAAATGGGAGGGCTCCGCCGGACAAATGGGAGACCCACCGCTGGGGAAACGCCGCGACCCTGCCATTTCCCCAGCGGAGGGGTCCGATCCATTGTCTGAGATATAAGTAGCTTAAGAATAGTATTAGTATTCGAAATGTTAACCGTGCAATGCTTAGACTCACTGTTTCAAGCTAATTCCGGATGTGGTCGTTTTTCGAAAGACCAGTCAGACAAAGTTGCTACTCTTCTAGTGCGAGAAATCACCTCCAATTGTAAAGTCAACAGCTCGAAATTCCCCTCAGCTTTGCGTTTTTTGGTGCTCGATCGAATAATTGTGGTCTGCTGGGACATCTGAATATTGTGATAACAAGTCTTACTACGGAAGGATACTCATAGTGAAGTTTTCAAATTACAGTAAACTATATATAGTTATGCCATAATAACCGGGGCTTCGCGATAACTTTCTTCCCCTGATTTTTTGCAGATAGATCGCCACTATTTTGTGAAATAAAAAGCCAGCAAGCGACACTGCACACTCTCGTGATCATAATTGCTGAATCCTACGAGCGGAATGCACAAAGGTCATTTGCGCTACCCTCAGCGATTATCTGAGTATGTACCCACTCCAGCTGTCGCTGTGTTCTGCATCGAACTAATTCCTTTCAAAGATTTGCCTCGCACATTTCTGATTATGCAAAGTCGTCAGTAACTCGGAAATGAATGTGCGCCGAACAAAAAACTATCTCACGAAATACTATGCAAGTATAACAAGTGCACAATGTTTCCAACATCCAAGTGCATGACACATCAATTTATGTACATTTATACATATAAACTATATAATGTACGATAAATCCGTTCGTTCTAAGCATAGTCAAACATTCGACAAATGGAAATATGATGAGCATCGCTCTACGATGAACCTTCATAGTTATAAGCATGAAACCAATGACTTTAGGACCGATACTCTAAAATACCGACCGATAGGCGAAAACTCCATGATTCCTGGCCTGCATAGGGCAAACGAATTCCTTCTTCTGGAGCATACATACCTATGCTTCTATCTGCATCTCTCTTTCAGTATGTCTAACGAGATTATAGAGCATATGAACACAAATTGAAGCAACATTGAAACGTATCCAGTCAAAGCGAAAAATCAAAAAAAAACAATTTAAACCACCCGTAGAGGGCGCACAGAGTGGGGCTCCACATACGAACAGCCCACTCCCTCCTACTTCATCAGTGACAAGCAAACGTGTGCTCATTTGCGTTCACACCATACGATGTTTAAATGGGCTTGTACAGAAGGGTGGTGACATACTTCTTACGGTATCTAAAAGATAATTATAAATAGAAAAGTAAAAAAATATGGGCGAGTCATTTGTAACTCGTTATATAGTCAGCGCACATCGCGGGACAACCAATAGCGGAGCGGTTGTCCACTTGATCCACTTCTTCCACTTCATTATTGGTCAGTTCTCTGGATTGACCAATGACGAAGCGGATCAAGTGGATTAAAGGCAGCGTCCAGGCAAATCTGGACATATGCAGTTCTGATGTGCAAAGTAATTTTGGGGTCTAACTAAGGCACTGCCCAAGCTGCAGCTTAAATGGTGAACTCACAGTTGAGATATTCGCTTCCAAACTGGATCCAGGGATCGTATTCGCATGGATTCATGGCGCGACACATCAGTTTCGCGCGAGGACCCATGCGTGTCGCGCCATGAATCTATGCGAATACGATCCCGGGGTCCAGTTTGGAGCCGAATATCTCAACAGTAAGTTCACCATTTGAGCGGCCGCTTGGGCAGTGCCTTAACTAGGGCCCCAAAATTACTTCCCACATCAGAACCCCGTATGTCCAGATTTGCCTGGACACTGCCTTTAAAAGGAAAACGTACGGCGCGTGCCATGGGAGGAATATAACTGTGAAAAAATGAGATAAACAATTGCCATTAGCAAGTCACATACCGATGGGTCGCAGACAGCACCATTACTCCGTCCTTGATTGACAAAGCATAAAGATGATTAAGCATCACGTGATTGGGTTCAGGCAGCACATTGGGATCACATTGGACAGGAGTGTCCTTGTTGAGTATGACCTTGAAAGTTCTTGGTTTTACACGAAGCGGTATATGCGCCTATTGTATCTCACAAAAAAATTACTTGGAGAAGGTGAGGTGGGAGAGCGGGTGGATTGTGAGCTTTGGCGAACTCATTCCTGTCAGGGATGTCTTGTGTGAAGGCGCGCAACTTCTCCAGTTCTCTTAATAAGAAAATCGAACCTTGTATCAAACACAATTACAATTAATGTACTCATCCGTCGTTGAGCATGGTCAACGACGAGAACACAGTTGATATTTGATGACAAAATTCACCTATCATTCGGAGTATCATGAGAAGGCTGGTGGTTAGGAGCGCCGCGCATTGCTTCTCCAGCATTGGATGAAGCCAAATCTTTGTCCAGTGCATCGAAAACCTAGAAATACAAGCGCGACAAGTAAGCCATGAAAATGCGGCTTCTAATTTGCATGAGTAAGCTCCCTACTGCACTCATTTTCATCGCAGAAATATCCAGTCTACCTCAAAGTCATCCTCGTCAATCGACATCACGTTGTTTTCACCTCCCAAATTGTTGTTCGTTTTTGGCTGATTGTCGTCTACTACCCATTTGTTGTCAACCATAAATTTGTACTCGTGGTGCCCTGAAATGTTCACTTCACTCGATTCCGGTTCAATGGCTCTTGTGCGCATACGGACGCCAATGTCAATGGCTCCGAGTTGTTGTTAACATCACATTTGCATGCGTAACGAGCACAGTCATTAACATTTGTGTTATTCCAAGATAAATAAGTTACAATGATTTTACGCTTACCAGGCGTGAGCTCAAGAATAGTGCTAAAATCGCTTGAGGACTTCACCAGTGGGATTTTTTGACGCCATCCATCCCACGAGCCACATATATACACGGATCGAGGTTGACTGAAACATAAAATTATACCAGAATAAAAGCCAAAACTATCTGCACACAATTTGTTCACAAGAGAAACATCATGAATACGTAGAGTTAGCATGATTTAGAAGGAAAGAAAACGATGAAGTGGGTTAGATACAGCAACCAGCATTATTTGATCTTCAATCAGTCAGCGGATCATTCAAACTACGATGTTTAGAGGCAGTCTGGCAGAGTTTACGGTACCTCAATTCTAACGGATTACCAAAACGGCTTTCTAATGCAAACTACAGGCGATTGGGACTGCGAAATAATGTTTCTGTGAATGAAAAAAAAATGCTCCAAAAGTTTCACAGCCTCCTCTCGTTCATTCTCGTCCTTATCGCAGCAGAAAGCGTGCTGGGATACACCTCTGCAGAAACCGCAAGCGTTGCAACGGCCTGCCCCAGCACGATTTCCTGCCTGGATAAAAACGAATTTGAATTATGGAGCGGCTACGTCGGCATTTTTGAAGTGCCGACAAAGCCGCTGCCAAATTCCTTGCTTCAAAAGCGGTATAAAGCAGCCGCCATCGAGCTATAGACTGGATGAAGCACCTGCTCAGTAACCCGGTGGATTTGAGGTGCTGCCAGATCGGCCTGATACTGCGTGAGAATCCAATATGGTACGGTACCATTTTGGTGTCAGATTGGATTACGAAATACTGAGTGATCAAAATGAAGCCAAGGCATGATCTACCTGGTAGCGGAGCAATGCCATTTGAAGACCACAGGATACTCGTTAGTTTCTTTGAACTGCACATTTGGCGCTACACCACCTTCCATATCGTCATCGCTTTTGGCAATTTTCACCTTGAAGCAATCACAGCAACAATTTAAGGCAACAGATAGTAGAACAATTGCATCCTCATAACTATATCGATGCGCCAAGAATCACTGAAGATCTACACAAAAGTTTCGATTACCTGCACGGGACATCCATCCTCAGGATTCGAAATGCTCTGTGGATTTCCGCTGAATGTGCGGTGCCGTCCAGGGGTGCTTACACCACCTAAACAACTGTGCTGAACAAAGAACAGCTAGATTGAAACCCTTTTTATACTCTTGTTTTACACTGCAAGTTAGAACGTGCTCGTATGGATAAGCAAGATAAATCCTCCAAACACCTTGAGGTATCCGCAACTGTCAAATTCCACTTGGATGTCGGTGCAGTGAGGCCAGAAGACACTCGCGTTTGAGGATCGAGTTAAAGTAACTATGACTATAATGTGGCCGAAACATCGCAGCTGATGATGTGCTAAGTGAAATGATAGGCAGTGTTGTTAACAGTTGCTGCGTATACAGATCAGCGACAAGTGCGATGACAGTTGTCATCATATCCAGGATGACGGACAACCGTAATGGCGGTGTCGATCGAATGGGATTGACTCGATTTTCGGGAATCGAGTACAATCGAACCCTACTTTTTTTACTGTTGATCGTAAGAAATGACACCCTTCGAAATTTGCTTTTACACACTTTGCAAGCATGATTTCTTCTTTGCTTTCATTGACTTGCGCACCGCAATCGTTTGAAGGCAGTAATGTGTGGATTCTACTAGGAAATCTCGTTTGGCTACTACCGGATGGCAGCGCATAGTGCAACATTATACTTTCCCAATCTCTTTTCGCGCAGAGAACCGTACTCGAGATTGTAGTTAGCTCGGACCGAATGCGATCTAAACTTGGGTCTAGAAATGTAGCGGGACACGAATGATCGCAGCCGCTTAGGCAAAGGTAACCAAAGCCTCCCAATCAGTTTTTTGACGTAGATAGTGCTTTTAATAGCAAAGTCAAACAGTGAATGACTGTGGTCTTGTCTAATACCAAGATGACCCAATCCCTAGATCGAGTCAGAGCCCGAGCATGAAAGCAAATCAAGACGCCCCAAGCAAAGAACTCGCATTGGAAGTTTATACAGAAGAGGATATACTACATCAGCGGCTGAATCACTGACAGTCTTCTGTACGCGACGCTGAATAGGGATAGCGAATAGTGATTTCAATCGACCTATTGCAGTAGCTGCCGCTATTGCAGTCATGCAGCCGCGGCAGTCATGCAGGTTTTGGATCCGAAACAATCGCTGGGAGAACGATCTTCTGTCTCAACAACAGTGTCGCTGACTCGATCGGCTTCAATCCTGCGCAGCCGCCTCGCACGACTTTGCGCAGCGCAATAGCTGTTTATTCTTACGAGCGCGGAGGATAAGTCGAAGGCAGCAAGGCGCGAAGTCAAGCATGACCCCCCAAGCCCGCGCTAGTCATTGAGTCAGACGATAATGTGAATGCTGCATATGTTTCGCTTATGTGACATCAAGTATAGGGCATTTGAAAAATCATGACGATGGCGCGACCGCGCGCGACACGGACGCACCTTTCTGCAATTGCTTTTTCTTGGTTTTAATATCTACAGTCGAGTAGATTTTTTGCTTAATATAGTGCCCCTGCAGACGCGACAACGCTTGTGCGTCGGAAATTGCCATTGCGAGTTCTTTCCTGTGTTTTTAACTGGTTTTCTGCTTATTCTTTGCTTTTTGGGTAATTCGTTGCCAATAAAGGAGAAAAAAGGTAAGCCAGGGAGTATTTCTTGTTTTCCAAGTAGGTATGTCTCGCTTACTCCCGAGTATCTTCGAGGAAGGTCGTCGTGTCAGTTGCACGTGTGTTTTCTTGTAACTTTACCCCTTTTTCCTCTTGTAAAGCATTTCCTTAAAGGTTAGTAGGCTTTTACGTTTGAACTATCACCTTTAACATATCTATGAACTACTCGACTAGAACCTACTTCCTTTTGAACAAGTGCCGAAATTGCTGCAGCGCAAGTCTACTAGCATTCAAAGAAAATACCATGAGACTTAAAGAGGCAATTAATGACGAAAGAAAAGCAAATGACGAAAAATACACGTGAAACTGACACGACGACCTTCCAGATAGATAGATAGGAAGATACTCGGGACTAAGCGATATCATAACTGCTCAAAAAACAGAAACTAATCTCTAACTTACCTTTTTCTCCTTTATCAGCAAAGACTTACCTAAAAAGCAAAGAATAAAGAAAGAAAACAATGGAAAACAATCACTCGGCAAATCGCAATGGCATTTGTTACGCATAAGCGTTGTCGCGTCTGCAGGGACACTATATTAAGCAGGAAATCTACTCGACTGTACTGACTGGTTTTTCTGCTTACAAGGAGAGGATACTTAGTCGAAAGCACCAATCCAGATGGGGCATATACCATCTTAGAGCGCTTGAAACGCTGATTCTAAATCTGCAGTTTCTAGCTGCGGAACGGTTTTGTAGAGGGAGTTATGAGGGGTGTTTCCTCTGAGGTTGAGGCGCCCTCCACCAGGTCTCCCCCTACCTATGAGCACTGTAGAGGAGTACCAATTGTGGCAACTGACCTAGTGGTAAGTGACGTGCTTGATAAAGAGAGTGTCAAGGTTTTAATCATCTTCGCATGCTAAATTGAACTTCTAAATGGCTTTAGAGCCCTAAAGCATGAAACTTCTGATGATATGGATACTAATCGAAGTTAGAAGTGTTAAAAAAACTAGAGTAATATGAGTATTACAATCCTTACTGTAATCTTCATTCAAATTACTTACCATTAGGTCAGTTGCCATCTGCTGATACTCCTCTACAGTGTTTACAGATAAGGGGAGACCGCTGGAGGACCTAAATCCCAGAGCGGAGCACCCTTCATAACTCCTTCTACAAAACCGCTCCGCAGCTAGAAATTGCAGATTTGAACTCAGCGTTTCAAGCGCTTTAAGATGATATATGTTTCATCTGGATTGGTGCTTTCGACTAAGTATCCTTTCCTTGTTAGTATGATAGTACTTGGACATTATAAGTGACTGAGCTGAGCGTTGAGATGATGCCTTTTCCTATGAGGGTGTTAAGCTCCTGAAAGCGGAAGAACCGCAGTCGGATCCGTTGTCACAATTTTATAAATGAACCATACCATGCCAGACTAGATGGTGTGATTAACATGCAGGGTAGCGCCTATTGAAGATAATTTCGAACTACAAACTGAGTAGGCGCTCTGATAAATCGCGAAAATTCGTGCTATTGCAATGGCCAAGCTACTGACAGTTCCTCAGGAAAACGCTTTATTTGGACATTTTCAGGTGTTTCGAATAGCTATAAAATTCATCGCCAGGAAGAGGAGAAACGGTTGAAATCCCAGTTCTATCGGAGACCACCTCAAGGCTTGAGGTACACACCACGCGATTCTAGTCGCTGCGCGACCTGTTACTGCAACGACTCATCATAACTGGTTGCAAGCGAGCTTTGCCTGGGCCAGGCTTAATGCATTCGAGGCAACTTTCACAAACTACGCACCAGTGCGTTCAAAACCCGCGTACGGTTAACCTGTAGTCATGGAAATCGTCTGGACGCGTGGATGCAGCGATTTGACGAAATCGCGGAAAGTATGCCTTAGGGTTCCTTCATACTACGCCGCTGCAGTGGCAGTGAAAGTACGCTCATGGGAGCAGATTTGGGCTGTTTATCGATATATCTCTAGATCTGCTGCACAACTCGTTTCTTCGAGAGTATTTCTTTTGATTTTGCAATCTTTTTCCTTTCTTTTACCTTTCCTCATCGTCGATCAAATGATTCTTCATTCAGGTTTTGATTTTGTGTGCGCCTTCGATTCCACGAAATTTATCTCGCTCCAGTTTGTTGTCATCAATGACTTCAGTGCGCTACTTTGTTTATTTCTACTCATGAGGTACTAAATTCTTTCTCATCGAGACCTTTTCATCGAGCGATGTATTTTAGAAACTTTTAGCAACAATAAAATACTGGAGTTAGATTATGCATATTGCAGTTAGTCATGATGAAAAATGTGTAAAATCAAAAGTCAAGGGAGCACAGAAATTCAATAGAGTTAAGAAACATTCGATTAACGATGAGACAATTTAAAGGAGAAAAAAGATTGCAAACTCTGGGGGAATACTCTCGGAGAACACGAACTACCAGCAGATATAGAAAGCATTGATAAACAGCGTGCTGCCATGAGCGCATTCTCACTGCGATTACGGCCGCGTACGTTAAGCTGCGAACGCAGCGCACGCAGAAGGCTGGCTGCCGCGTCCTGCGGCGTAGTCTGAACAAACCCTTACTCCCGCCAGACTTCGAAAAGCGCCCAAAAGCGTTCAAAAGCGCCCAAATTTCTCTAATTCTCTCACCTCTCTTAACACAAAAAAGTGAAGAGACATTAAAGGAATTTGGGCGCTTTTGGGCCCTTTGAGCGTTTTTGAGCAAAGTCTGGCCGGGGCTTTAGGCCCACCATGAAAGAGCCCGCAATGCGAATTTTCTCTGTTTTTGGCAATTAGGAACAAAAGGATACGTCCAAGCGGTTCCTAAAGACCGACGCGACTTACTCTAGAAGTCTTTTGATTATTTCGGCGAATCGCTAATCCGTGCCCTGGCTGACGCTCGACCATAGAGCAAGTCATGGGATTCCTATCAGTTCAGATAGCGATACAAAGAACATCATATCTTATGTATGACGAAAGAAGCGCTACTGATGGAGAAGACGGCACTAATGATAAAACGACACATTTTCTCACACGAATTCACCAGTCAACAAAAAAACTACCTGGAAAGCCTTCACCAGGGCGATCACGCTTGTTGTATCCGCCGGGTTGATTATTACCCATAGTCGGACCTAAATGACTCATTGGAAAATATAAGTCAATTCACCGGCGATGAAGCGAGCAGCTCAACACCATGACATGGAACTGTTGAAGATGTACTGTATGGTCGCCAAAAACGCAATGACCTAATCATTAAACGTCACGAACCAATGGATATACAAACTTTGGCTTGGCGGTCACGTGAATTCATCAAAGAAGCACAACTCAGAAAAAACGCACGTGGGATTTCCAACTAAGCGTGAGAAAAACGCGCTCTACGCAGCTGCACAGTTTTCGCCTGAACGTAAGCCTAAATCGCAACCGGATCATGTCAGCTAAAATAAAACACGAGGTTCCTGCAACCAGCATTCTATAAATTTGAATGTAGTGTATCTTTCTCCAATGCAAGGCTGATCTGCTTGATGTTATGTGTTGAAAGAATTTGCCATGAGCAGACCGAATATTGATATTGAGGAAGGAAATATTTCTATCTACAACCTTCATTCAAGAAAACATCTACAACCTTCACCTAAGAGAACAAAGTGGATTTGTATTTACGAGCGAGGAGTCTTACATTGGCAATCTTGGAATAGCAGATGGGACCAAAATCTGCTTATGTGCTCCAGGGATCTACCAGAAAAGGCCTTGTGTACAAGATTACAGTAGAAGCACAGTGCAAAAATTTGCATCTCAAAAAAAAAGTCATTGGAACCCTCTGCAAGTCTTAACGGATGTTAACGGCAGTACCTACTCGCATATCCTTGCAATCCTTAATCTCACTGAATGTAAACACTTGTTCACTTTCAGTCTTTGGGCGAGGGAACGCTCCTATTCTTGAGAATTCAAAAAAGAAGAGCTTCTCCTGCCCTCCCGGTAATTTCTATAGAGCGCATTCCACTCGCTATTAGAGTGATCCTCAGCGATTGCGGGAGAATATCTGCGCTACTGACTATAAGGAGTGAAACGAGGAAGAATTCTGGAGTGTCTACGCCTAAACTTCATGTACACTGGCCTTTCCGTAATGTTTTTACAACGAAGGCGGATTGACTCGCTGACGACCAAGCGGTTTTAGGCAAAACTCACATCCATCTTTCATGCGCATTTGGGTGGGGGAAGAGGATACGCGATAGGCAATAGACATTTGCAAAATACCTATCGGCTATACTTGGGTCCGAATCGAATAAAAATTGAAACATTCGAATAAAACATTCAAATTCGCATAAATTCGATATACGTAGTTTCTCCATTTTCAAATAATACTCGAAACTCGAGTAATCAAAAAACGGGGTTTCGAATAAAATTCGAAACTCGAATAATCGAAAAGTGGGTTTCGAAAAAAATTCGAAAATTCGAATAATCAAAAAACGAGAATTCGAATAAAATTCGAGAATTTGAATAATCAAAAAACGGGGTTTCGCTTATATTCTATCCGAATGTTTCATTCAAATTCTTATTCAAATGAAATTCGTTTCCAAATTATTCAGTTTCTGCGGAGCCAACTGCTGAGTAACAAGCTCGCTTCGTTTGCGTTTTTTTTTTCACAAAACTCGATGATACATCTTTTGGCAGCCTGATCACTTTGAACTGTATGAAGACTCGCATTTTCCTTCAACTCCTTGTAGGAAAAGCGCGAAATATCTGCGCTATTGGTCCATCTTCCTCGCCCCGCCTCAGGGCGCCTCGGGGCTATATAAAGCAATATGCCCCGCCCACAAGGGGTTCGGACTTGAGGCAGCTTCGCAGCTGCCTCTTCAACAAGATCGTCTCCGAATCTCCGCCCCCCCCCCTCATTTTAATCACCCGCCCTCCATATTTATTTAATCTCTAATCATTTGTTTATTCTATTATTCCCCTTCGTATAATTGCCTCGTATTTATTGACGTATTATATTATATTGTTATGTTTATGTAAGGTTGAGCCGGAGCACTAGCTCCTGCTTGACTACCCTCTATCTCAAACTTATCTATCCCCCACCTATCTATCCGCTATCTTATTTCTTATCTAATTAATCTTATAATTATATCCCGCCCTGTTTTGCCGTCTGCCGCTATACTTCTACATCCTATACTTTGTTTATATATGCCTGATAAATGCTTAGTAAGGAAGCTAGTTGAGTTTTGTATATGCCGGTTGAGAGAATAGGAAGTAAGCGTTACTGAAAGTCCAGCTACGGTACCACTCTTAGCTTAACGACAACCTAAAAACACAAATTCGTTACATGGAGGTTCCGGACCGGGTTTTTAATACTATAAAACTCGGCAAAAGAACAATTCTTTTACTATCCTATCTAATTCCAAAAAAACATATATCCATCTCTATAAGCGCAATTAGTCACATCTACGCCAATTCTATTGCAAGGCTACATGAAAATATTTTAAACTATGTGACTGGAGCAAATTGCTCCCACTATTTTCATGGCGTAGGAAAAGCCTGGCCAGGTCCGTCTAAGCGTCACCCTTGCAAGTAAGGTAAACAAAACAATTAAGTGATCGCTCACAAATTCATGCGCAGTAATAAGTAAACACTAATAAATTAAAATTTTCCACTCAACCTCCAAGTTTCGTAACGCATCATCATCAACTACTTCCTAACTTCTTCCCATGGCATCTTCCTAACATCTTCCCATGGCATTCGCTTTAATCACATAACTCACGCATATACAAAGAGTCTAGCAACACAAAAGGTATAATCCCCACTCAATCACAAACATCTGCCTAAGACCCCTCCCCCCCCCCCGTTGTCATCACCTCTAAGGTAGGCGTGGTCTCAGAAGTACCTCACCATATTCATTCTTACATATTCATGCAGCAACAGACGCTCCTCTCTCTCCTTAACTTTTGCCCAATTTTGAAGCATAGGGTTGAAACTCCTTAACCCCACAAAAAAAAACGAAAAAAACTTCCTGAGCCTCACATTTCATTGTTATTGAAGTATACTTTGTCGTGACCAATGCCCCTGATATTACAGAAATCAACTTAAAGAAAGAAAGATGCTGAGCCAAGCCATCATTTCAAAGATCCACAATCACCTGCTCACCAACGACTATATCCGCCACCAACACATCACCAAGAAAGATATAGGTGACGTCCACGTCTATCTTGGCAAAGGACCAGCCGACCTAGTAGATCGGCACCACCGATCCAACATTCTGCGCTTAAGTTCGGCGGTGGAAATACTGCAAGGCCAGCAGTATATTCGCACGCCGGCGCATAGGCTTAACGCCTATGTCTATGAAGCGCTCAAGGTAGCGACAGCTGCCTTCGATGGGGCCGATGGAAAGTTCATCGAAGACTTTCGAAGTCTCCTGATGCTCGAGGAAAGAATCAACACCACCTTCTGCTACTGCGAGCAATGTCCGGTTGGCACGACGGTGCTAAACCACATTCATGAACTCGCGGACGAGCTGCCTCACCAGCTGAAAGGCCCCGTAGCACAGGTAGGACTAGGTCCAGAAGCAAGATTTTTCAGCCTCGAGCAAATATGGCTGGAAATCCCGAAGATCGTAGTCCCGGAGGAAGACCAGCCGTGGGACCGATGGGAAGAGCTGGAGCATGGCCGGTTCAGGGAAAGATGTAGCAGCGAGTGCTCAGACCTCGACTGCTCCAGCCACGAAGTTCTGCAGCCGCCATACTACCCCCTTGGCGGCCCATCCAACCCTGACCGACCGTACGACATACCGGACGAGCTGGATTACGACAGTGACTACAACTATGAAAGCGATGGCACGGACCCGGACGCCGAAAACCACTACGGCGTGTATTAGATTTCATGTATATATACTCTCATATTTCCTTTCAGTAAACTCTTTGTGTACTCCTTCTACCACTACATCGTTACAAATTTGCCGACGCTTCCTCGTCCGCGACCACACATTTCTCTCGTCCAAAAAAAAAACAAATGACGAATTCACAGAGCGTACTTATAATGTGCTTAATCCAAATACACAATATCTTTTACTCCGCGACTCGCGCATCGTAAGGCAATTAGAGCAGCAATGGCTGGCAATTACTATTGATTCGCTCATACTACTTAAACAAAAAATGTACACGAAAGAGAAAAGGGTCACGAAAGAATCAAGGTTTTTTAGTGATAGACTGGCCCGCTCTCTGTCAGCATATTCCATATATAATTAGCGTTTTGAAACACGGATATCTCCAAAATCGAACGAGAATAAAAGTAAAATAAGACTCGCATTTGTAAATCTCCTACAAACTAATAGACAGCCTCGATGTATAAACGAAAATGAAAAGAAATTTCCACTCATCCAAAATAAGCTACCGTATCCGAAACAATAGGATTAGTCAAAACGTTTGAATAATGATCCTTCGAAAGTCGGCTCTAGCCTATACCATCCATCAAGTTAAGCCGCAAATGCCAAACGCGCTGCGGCCAGAAACCGCGCAAAATAAATGTCTCCATAGAGGATTTCGGTTTTCGTATAGTTTGACTGATGCGACTAAAAGGCAAAGGACCAACGGCCTTAAGCCAGGTCATAAATTCAACTCGCGGTTTGAAACTAGCCATGCGCGCGTAAGAAGACTAATCGCTGCCACGGGATTACGTAAAATCCAAACTGTGCTCCCAGAGCAAGACAAATGTACGTAAGCCCGCGGCGAAACTCCGCCTTTTCAACTATAAAAGCTAGTTCCTAGTCAAAGAGCTCTCATACTTCAACATCTGACCAGCCACGCACATCTGATCTAATTGTCTGCTATATTCTCGACTATTCCAACTATCCAACAACATAGTCACAACTTTGGTAACAACGATACGATCAGGTAGGTTCTTTCCACCTTGTGTTAATTCTGGTTCATCACTCAATTCAAATCTCAGACTCTTCTCATATTTTTCTGTTAGCCATCCACCTTATTACTTTTGGACGCAAACAACAACTCAATTTTGGAAAGGAACAGAATTCATAGTAATCTCACATTTCCTCTTCTCGTTTGCTATAATTACAGCCATTCGGCTGTCAGCTACTAACCACTTCTAATCCACACTCACATATTTTCGCTTCTCATATTTGCCGTAAAATCAACCAAAAAAAAAACTCTTACAAACCTATCCCTACTTACCCCCCCCCCCCAAAAAAACCTTTATTGTTGTATAACAACAATATTGTTGTATAACAACAATTAAAAAAAACACATACAAAACAAAAAAAAATTTTTCGTGACAAACAAGATCGAAACAAAATAATAAAAGTATCGCCTGTAGAAAAAGCCCTTCTCTCCACGTAAACGCCGCTCGCATCTCGACGTCGCGTGAACCTAAAATAGTCAAATAAAAAGAAAATCTAGTAAAAATCCATATTTTTCAACAAAAAAAGAGCATCTCAAAAAAAAATCCTATCCTTCCAGAAAAGAGTATCCCAAATCAAAAAAAAGGTTAATTCTTATTCTTTCGAAGGAAAAGCATTTCAATCAAAGAAAGTCCGTTTTCCAAAAAACAAAGCGTGTTAAGTCAAAGAAAGCCCACATTTTCCAAACAGAAAATAAGAGAGTATCTCAAACCAAGAAAATTTGTATCTTTCAGAAAAGAGAGTATCCCAAGTCAAACAAGATCCGTATCTCTTTCACTCAAAAAAAAAGGGACTAGTATTAGCTTAACTTAACTTAAAAAAAAAATCAGCTAACGCTACTCGTAGTACTAAAAAAAAAGAAAAAGAAGCCTCAATAAAAAAAAACTCAATTGATAAAGTGTAAACTTTGAAAGAGAACAAAAAAAAAACAACACACACACACCTTTTTGGCAGTCTTCCATTTTGTGAGCTACGCCAACGTCCCAGTGCCATCCACGCGAGTATCCTGTAAAACTTATACATTACTTGCGGAAAGGCTGTAATAGAGTTCTAACTCTCACTTCAATCAAAACAGCCAAGATACCTCCTAAGAAATCACTCCTTATAATCACGCGTGCCTTTCAAACAAATCGTGACGACCGTAACGTGACGCTCAAAAAACTGGAAAAACAACGCAAAACCCCGCGTATAACGCAATCTGACTTAGATCGTCCTTCTACTAGCGAATTAGAACCCCCGGAAGAGTTTGAATATCATTCCGTAGACGAAAGCAATCCCAACTTCTCTCTGGACGTAATAAACGAACTTCGAGCCGTAATAAGAGACTTTCAAGACCGCAAAAAGGCAGCAAAAGAGCTAGAACGATCCTCCTCGACCTCAAGACGCCCAAACATGCCCAGCGCTAGCATACAAGCCGATATGAACGCGCCTGTAGTAGAAGACCCTAACTTTCCGCAGCAAAACTTATATGCCGCGAGCAAACTTCTGTCGACTAGGCTTGAAAGATTCACCGGGGACGGTGACAAAACATTCGAAGAATTTCTGGATGATTATAAAGAATTGGTCGACAGCCTCCATATTCCCCATGCTTACGCCCAAAGTCTCCTCCCATTATTTCTATCCGGTGGAGCCAAAATAAAATACCAATCCCTAAAACCCGAGGAAAAGGGAAATTGGACAGAAATTGTTACCAACCTAGCGAAAAAGTTCAAAAACCAAGCTATGCTAAGTAATGTCCGAGACGAACTACATAACCTCAGACAAGGAAAAGACACTGTTGGCGAATTTGCAAAGAAGATACTAACCAAAACGAAAGTAGCCTACCAAGGCGAAGACAAGAAGATACCTAATAAACTTTCCATCGATTTTTTCATCAAAGGGTTGAGACCAGACATCAGGCGAGCCGTTAGACGCCTCCCTGACCCCGAAGATTTCGATACCGCTCTCGCTAATGCCGAAAAGATACAAAGGATACTCCAACAAGAGTATCGTGAAGATAGAGAACTTTTGGAAAGCATAAATGCTCTCAAAATAGGCGAACAAGTGGAGGAATTGACCCAACAGGTCAATACTCTCCAGACCACCCGAAACACTCCCCCTCCTAGACAAGATCGCTCCCGGGCAGTAGTACGTTTTCAACCAAATAACAGGCCAAATAACAATTCCAACTGGAGACAGCAAAGAAGATCCAGCACTCCTTTCCGCCCCACAAATACCAGTTACGGAAATCCTCGCGGAGTTCGGCCTTTTGTGAGACGGATCTTTCCAACTAACAACCGTTTTTGGCCTCGTCGCCCTCCTAACAATCAATACCGCCCTTACAACCAATTCTACAACCCATATAATCCTTACACGGCGTACGCACCACCAGCGCCATACGCCATAAATCAGCCTGCACTACCGCCGGCGCCAAACACGACCCAATACTACCAATCGCCGGCGCCAAATACGACCCAATATTACCAGCAGTCAGCTCGAATGCCTTCGGCAGCCCAAAACGTGAACTTTCTATGCATTCTAGCCATAATAGCCACCTGCTTGATAACTCCAATCCTGCCCTATCAGGTTTGCGGAAGCAGTACCTTCCCAAATGCACTTTCTCTTCCCAAACTAATACAGTGCAGTGTCACTCCGGATGAACCCCTGATCGAAACCACGGTGCAGCTTTTTGGCGAAAATACCAACCCGTTACGAATCCCTGCCTATAAGTGCTACCGGGATGTTATTCAAGTCTCCATACATAACATCCTCTATATAAGAACGCGACGAACTGTAATCAGCCGCCAACGTCTCTCAATCCCAGCAGAAGAATGTGAACTTGGGAAAAGTAGCAATAGCATCAAAGGACACACCCTTACTGAAATTGCCCCTGGACTTAAAGTAACGGAAGAAATTGAGGACGAAAAGACCTCACTCCCGCTCTGGGGCACGAACCTATATTTGCGAAGCCTCTATTCCATCGAAGAAGGACAAATAGCGTCCCTAAACGGTGAAGCCATGCTCAGCACCTTTGGAGATTTAAACAACTGCTCACTAGCGCAAGGAAACTGTAATACCCCCACCGGAATGGTAATATGGGAACCCATGGAAGTGATCCCTTGGTGCAAATATAATGCTATTGGAGAATTTAATGCTCTGGTTAGCATAAAATATGTCCTCGTACCTGACCATGAGCTAGCCTTCGAACTGAGCAATAACCACCTGCTCCGCTCAAGATTGCTACAGCACTGCAATATACCAAATAGTTACCTTACTACTTCAAATCACGTAGTTTCCTTCCCAGACATTCCACCCCACACAATGATCCAAGATTTCATCGTGGAAACCTCCGCTAAACAACGGAAAAGACGCGGCGTCAAATATCTAGTCGACACCGAAAACCGTCGCTCTCGCTTTGAAATAGTCCCGGCGCGCACCCTACTCATGACACGGAAATTATTCGGCACTGCCGAATTTCAAAGGTTACCCCAATTTGAAACACAACCTATAACCGATCACCGACTACTAAGGGAAATTAAACTATGGAAAGTCACCAACCAAGATTTCTCCCAACGAAGTAGGATGTACGCTCTCGAAAATACCCGCATAAGCGTCCTGCGAACAATCCGCTATGCAGAATACCGATACCATCAGCTTGCCTTCCTTGAAGATATACAAACTAGAAGACCTCTAAATTACGCTGAACTTGCACTAAAGCAAGACCTAGAACAAGGTATAACTGATATATTCGATCCATACCTATCACGCGAGTTCGGAGTGCTTGGAATTGACCTTGGTCGAGACCCCAGCAAACTCAGAGAAAAGCCCATACCATTTTTTCGAGAGAAAGATCTGGATAAAGTCGACATCACGACTTTAGGTTTAGAACCCATCGCTCACCCAGAACCTCTACCTAGCAAAACAACCTCGTCTCCGGTCACAAGGCCTTCTACATTCTATCCACCAGTTATGATAACGACAAAAAGAACCCTTCCGGCTTACATACCCACCAAGAAGCCAATTTTTGTCATTCCGAACACGTCCACTATCACCCCTCGTACCTCACGAACTTGGCCACCTGTCCCTAATACGACAACAACCACAGAAACACCAAGAATAGTTGCTCCTGTACATCTAACTTGGCCACCTACTCCCAGTACGACAACTACCACAGAAGCTTCAAGAGTAGCCGCTCCTGTATATCTTATACACGAGACAAAAACTATAGACGCAATTGCACGCACTCCGCCACCACTGCCTCACACATTCCCTCCTAATCGAGCCACTACCAAAACCTTCCCAAGCTATCCCACAACTTTCACCTACCCTACAACTACCTCCACGATCAAGCCAATAATAGCGACGCCAACATCAGTTTATGAAAGATTCTATCACCCGCCACCTTTCCAAACCCCAGAAACGCGACCCGATAGATCACCTCGGCCACCCTTAGCCGAAGACGACCAACCCGAATCCAGAAACCTTAATCCTCAACCGTCAATGCAATTTCACTTTCATGAAAATACCCTACGACAAACGTTCAATAACATTTGTATAAGACAATATTTAAATAACCAACGACTTCACGAGCTCAGTCATGTCGATCCCACTTGGGCAGCACGACTACTGCTCAGAGATACGAACGTTGTCGCCACCCTATCGGACAACGAACTCCTAGTGACCAGATGCAGAAAAGTTGAACCAACCCAAACCTTTCCAAATCACCAAGTGAATAACACCTGCTATGATCTTCTACCCGTCTTGGTTGAAGATCAACTGTGGTTTGCAATCCCTGCCACAGGAGATCTGGTCCAAACAACGACAACAATGCCCTGTCCTTATATCTCCAATGTCGATCCCAGTCTAGTTCAACAGATATTACCACCAAATGTACTTCCAAACATGAATGCAAAACCGTTCTTATTCAACCCGCCGCCTATTTACCATCACCTCATACAAAACTACGCCCCGACCACTAGATTCCAAGTCGATTACCTGCAGCAAGAATACGCAGCCTTACAAAATCGATTACAAAAGCGAGGAATCATAGAAGATACCATGCTCAAAATTAAGGACGCTGGAAACTCCTTGAAAGATTCTCTGTCCTCTATCTACACCAAAACAACCGACAAATTAACCGCCGGTGTAGAAAGCATTAGATGGTCCATGATTTCGCTCTTACTCTGGGTAACCATTCCCACATTGGTGATCATCATTCTCATTGCATGTTGTGTCTGCTTTGTGAAGATCTATTTTATACGCAAAGCCTCCAGTTCTGCTGCGTCCGCCATGGTAGACTTAGCTAGCAGTCTCTCGAGGAAACGACTAGCTAGGCGTCAGCACGAAATAAATGCTCTTATGGAAGAGCAAAACAACGGGAATCAACCAAATTCCCTTTTCGTGCCACGCATCTACTCTATCTTTTCGCAAGTCAATTCCATCAAAAGTCCATTGCCATACGTAAGGATAACCCTCAACCGTTTCTCCACTCCAGCGCTCATCGACAGCGGCGCTACAATATCTTATATGAAACAGTCCACGCTGTACGCGCTAGGACCCAATGTCAACATCGACAACAATCACGTAAAAGCGCAAGCCGCCAATGGAACTCAAATAGAGCTCTTAGCATCCGTAATCGTAAATGTCCAAGTAGGAACCCATATTATACAACATCGCTTCCTGGTGTCGCAAGATTACCAGTGCCCAGCGCCAGTTCTTCTGGGAACTGATTTCATCAAGAAATTGAACCAATTAGGTCTCAAACTAACTATAGACCTACATAATAACCTACTTACGATTGGTAGCGATGCGCATGACATGGTCCAAATAAACGCCATTAATTTCCTTGAAGTCAAACCCAATGATGTACGACTCTCCCAAACGACCATTCTGCCAAAAAGATCCTCATCTATTGTGCCGGCGTACATCGATCCTTACGATCCCAGCAACCTATTTGACTTCATCATTGAAGACAACCACAGAGATCTAGACCTTCTGTATGTTGTTGGCCGATCTCTAGTGAGCCCCAACCCGAACGGGGCATGCCTCGTAAACATCCTAAATCCATCCAACACCGATATAAAGCTCTATGGTCGTATGAAAATAGCCCACGCTACACCCGTATCCTCTCCACTTGAACAAATTCTCACAGTTCAAGGCGAGTACATACCTCCCGAAGCAAACTGGGAAGAAAGGATTCCTCACTTTCCAATTCCCTTGGCTCCAACCTATGATATCGCTTCTGAAATAAACCTAACCAAGTCCGCGCTAACATCGCAACAAAAAGAACATTTGTTAGCCATAATACGTCAGCATTCTCAAGCCTTTGTAGGACCTGACGGACACCTAGGACATTATAACGGCCCAATACGACACCGCATCGATCTCATAGAAGATGTCCCGATACCAACTAGAAAAATATACCGTGTCCCACTCGAAAAACGACTCGAGATAGAGCAGCAAATCACCCAAATGCTCAAAGACGGTATAATTCGCGAATCCGCATCACCATTTTGCGCCCCTATAGTCTTGGTACGCAAACGAGACGCAACCTCATGGAGATTCACCATAGACTTCAGAGGTTTAAACGCTATTACCAAGCCCCAACAATCCATACTCCCTAATATCCAGGATATAATCGATTTATGCGCAAACAATTGTCTATACTCCTCCTTGGATTTCCAACAAGGCTTTCACCAAATTCCTCTAGAGGAAAGCCATTGCGAGAGAACCGCTTTCGCGTGTTTTCTCGGAGCATTCGAGTACATCAGAATGCCAATGGGATTAAAAGGCGCCCCCGCAACCTTCCAGCGGATAATGGATGAATTCAAAAAACATCTCAGAGCTCGAGTTTTCATCTATATTGACGACTTAATAATCACCTCCGAAACCCCCGATGAACACATCAACGATATAGATGAGGTGCTCACAAAAATCGAACAAATCGGAATGAAGCTCAAAGCTTCTAAATGCGAATTCGCTCAGAAAGAAATCAAATTCCTGGGATTTGTTCTAAGTAAAGAAGGTATAAGACCTAACCCAGAGAAAACTCGAGCAATTGACGACTATCCAACTCCCAAAAATTCCACCGATATCAAAGCCTTCCTAGGAATGTGTTCCTTCTTCCGTAGATTCGTCCATAACTTTGCGGCTATCGCTTCGCCCCTTACCGCACTAACCAAGAAGGATATACCATTTATATGGACTTCCGAATGCGAAAACGCCATGCAACGGCTAAAACAAGCACTCACCACTGCTCCAATCCTGGTCGCACCAAGGCTGGGACTGCCATTCGTCATCGAGACGGACAGCAGCGGCAAAGCCGTAGCCGGCGTCCTAAAACAAGAACAGGATAATGAACTAAGAATAATTGCTTATGCTAGTCGCACCCTAAATAGCCATGAATCCCGATACCCCGCCATAGAACTAGAAGCGCTAGGAATAGTCTTCGCAGTGCAAAAGTTCCGTCCATACATTGATGGAGCAAAATGCACTGTAGTCACAGACCATGCCCCACTCAAAGCGCTTTTACATCGCAAAGATTTAACCGGAAGACTAGCAAAATACCAAATAATCCTACAGGAATTCGACATAACTATTGTATATCGACCCGGGAAAGCTAATATTCTCTGCGATACCCTGTCAAGACACCCGCCTCAAGTAGCCGCCATCTCCACCGAAGACAATCCTAACATCAACCTGTCTTCCCCGGAATTCATTGAAAAGATCAGAGAAGAACAAAGAAATTCTCCCTGGATACTTTCCTATAAACAGGCCATAGAACTAGGCGAGCCTAACCTGTACCCTCGCGAATATATTATCCTCAACGATACACTATATAAACTACCAGAGAAAGTCTATCAAGATCCCCAGGTAGTACTTCCTGACGATTCCAACATCAAGAAAGTGCTTATCAAACAAGTCCACGAATCCCGCTTTGGTACCGCCCACCTAGGAATCCAAAAGACTAAAGCAACTATAAGCAAACTAGCGATCTGGAACAAAATGTCCAGTGACATCAGCGAATTTATAAAATCTTGTCCCATCTGCCAACTAAGAAAAGACCCTTCCGTCTATCGCACAAATGAACCGCTGGATCAGTTTGAAGTTCCCAAACGACCGTTTCAGCGCGTCCACTCCGATGTCATAGGACCCCTTCCACTAACGCTACGGGGAAACAAATTCATCATCGTCTTTGTTGACGCATTCTCTAAACTAGTGATCACCGAACCCATATCAGACCAACAAGCAATCACCACTGCGGACGTATTCGTCAACAGAGTAGTGAGCCGTTTCGGTCCGCCAGAAATACTAGTCACAGATCAAGGAAATAACTACATGAGCGATATTTTCAGAAATACACTGAAAGTGCTCAACGTTACCCATAATACTAGTACACCTTACCATCACGAAAGCAATGGTCAGGTTGAACGCGCGAATAAAACTATCGAAGAACTAATAGCCACTGCCATATCCCAAAAAGAAGACCAATGGGATGACGTAATTCATGTTATAACTCACGCATATAACACCTCCGAAAATGCATCATCAAAATATACCCCGTTCTTTATCACCCACGGACGAGAAGCTAATAACGCCTTCCGTCTAGCCCTACAACTACCATCAAGGACATTCATAGACGAAGACGATTACGTGGGCCAACTAACCGCCACCCTTCAAAACGTTTCGAAAGATGTAACCCAAAACCTAACTACCTCTCAAACCATACAAAAGCACCACTATGACCTAAGAAAACGTGTCCACCCAGGTAGTTATAAAATCGGACAAGAAGTATTGATAAGAAAAGATGTAGACTCAAAAATCGCACCTAGATTTGAGGGTCCCTTCCCTATTGTCGACATCGAACGTCCGAACGTTACTGTTCGGGATGGGCGTCGCCTTCGCACCATCCACATGAACCGCTTGAAGCCATATACTCCTGTAACACCATTGACGGAAAGCACAAGTTCACAATAAACATACTCAGTAATCCGGGATGAACCCGTAGTCGAAGCCAACCACAACTAGCCAATAAAATTTTATTCACATACCACATAGAACATACTAGACTAGAAAAAAAAAAACTTAATAGCACATATGTATCACAAGTATTCACAGATATAACAGAACATCAGCACCATAGATAAACGCATAAATATCACAACTATTCACAGAAAAATGACTATACAGACTATATAACAAAATACCTGAGTGATAAAATGAGCGATATATATATACATATTTACATATTCACAAAGAAAAAAAAAACCGGGCTAAGCCTCCGGCGGCCCTTCCTCCGCCCCTCCCGCCGAAGGCGCTGTCGGCACCGCACCGCATCTCCTCGCTAACTCTCTGAGGACGTACAATCGTCCTCTGTCGAGGCACGTGCGGCAACGGCGCCTCCAATGGCCGCAGATCACGACCAATACGCCCAGCAAAACAATAAAACCTTCAAAACCAAATATACAAAAGAAAAAAAACAAAAGAAAAAGAAAAAAAGAAAGCAACACAAAAAAAAACTCACCAAAGAGAGCAGCTGCCATCAGCTCCCACGTAGGCGTTATAGTTGCAGCGGCCGGCTTAGTCGATGCCGCTTCACTTCCACAAGTCGTCGACTCCACCTCCGGGTCATAGCAGACGCACCTATAGCCGCCAGGTGCAACTTCAAAACAGATTCCACGTTCATTGCACCGCTCTACACACCAGCTGCGATCCACCGATCGCGCCATCTGGAATGATACATATTACATGTACAAATACACACCAACTAACTACAACACAACATGAAAATACTTCTGGAATGAAACCAGAAACACAAATCACCCCACACACACAATATTTATTAGTAAATGTAAACAAACAAGCGAAAAGAATCGACCCTGTAATCAAAATAATGCACCATCAGTAAGCACCGGTTAAATAATATTGCACATGCTACGGATCAACAACAAACACAAAGAAATGCACAACAACCAAATCAAAGCGGAACCTCATCCAAGGGAAGTTCCCTGATAATGGAAATAGCCGGCATCACCGGCTCCATCTTCTCTCCCTTGGTCCGATTGCGGCATGCACGCACCAGCAGATAGATTGAAATCACCATCAAGGTCAATGAAAGCGCGCATGCTAAACAAAAAGAAAACAAAATCATCAAACAAAAGCTCCGCAAAACCAAAACCAAAAAAAAAAGATTTAAAAACAACAAACAAAGCAAAAGCAAAACAACTCACCCGCAATCAGCGCCATCCATAGTAAAAGATTAAAATACCACTTGTCGAAAACAGTGGCCATCCCACAGTCCAGTGAATCCACGTTTGCGTCATAACAGACGCAAACGAATCCTTCGCCAGTGGAGAAGCATATCCCTCGATTAGAGCAGCGCGAGGGACAGAAGCTTCGGTCCACCGACTGGATCATCTGCAATTAAATCAATCAATAAGATCATAAGAAAATATGAAAACGCACGAGAAATAACAAACGCACGCCAAATCAACAATATTGCGAAATCCTATCAACAAGGTCGAAATCTCTTGAAAACCTAGCTGAAAGACCAAACCAACAAGGAACTAAACAAAATGATTCTGTACATTTGAGAAAAGAAAGGCAGGAAATGAACAGTTAGCAAGGATAAAAGAAAACACACGAATTAACGCCATATTCGCAATCCTGCAGCCACTCATATGATTTTCGAAAATCGGCGTTACCCGCCACGCTCAAATGGACCGCGCCGCGCGCACGCCGCGCGCCACACCCTCGCCGCATTAGAGCGCCCCCTGCCACGCTACCGCCCAGAATAGCGTGTTAAACATGTTAAACGAACAAGATCAAGGATTTCAACCGGAGAACAGTTCCAGATGTCGACAAATACGATTCTTGTCGCCTCCGAACGCTTCAGTCGCAAGAGATCCCGCTCGTCATCGTCATCCAGCTCTCGTCACACGCAACAATCACCTGCGTTATCTTACTACCTCTCTTCTTCTTTTTCTTCTTCTTCTCCTTCCACCTCTCCTTCTCCTTCCCTAACTCGTTATCTTCTTTCTACTCCCACTCCTCCTCCTGATAACGCTATAACTTTAGATGTAACATCTCCAAATAGTCCTTCTCCTGAGATTCTCCTCGTTGTACCCGCAAAATCTGACGTAAATTCGATTGTATCTTATTCTGTTTCATCTCCTTCTCAAATTAACGACTCTAACAATGCCACAAATCCTTCGCACGGCACCAATCCTCCATACGTTAACGATTCTAACATTACAACTACCCCTCCAGAAAGCACAACTTCCCAACTTAACGATTCTGGTACCACCACAAATCCTCCGGAAGGCATCACTCCTCCCAGAATAACTATCCATGTGCCAATATCAGCCTCCCAAAGCTTTTTACGTCGCAGGGTACTCCTTACTACACCCATGCCTCCTAAAAAATTGTGCACCATCGCACAACCACAACCACGCCATTGGGAGAAACCTCCTGGAGCCATCCCTAGCCTGCTTAAACTATGTCTCTCTCCCAGACCAGAACCTCATGAACCGCAGTATTATTATCGGTTAAAACACGAATATCGCGGGCCTACTCACCGACGCTGTTTCAACCCAATCCCGACACCTCTATGCCTCCTCTGCAGCGAAAGTACCCATCCAACACGGTACTGTCAATCACCCTTACCTTACCGTACGAGAGCCCACATCCTTCTCCAAAGATACAGGCTCTGTCCCCGCTGCCTCGGGAACCATAGCTTAAACAAATGCACAGAAAACCCAACCTGCTTCCGGTGCAATGCCAACGGCCATGCTACTGCCATTTGCCAAGAACCACCAATTCAATTTTTCTAGTCCCGGGGACCGGGACTTTCCGAAAGAAAATCATGTAGGAAAAGCGCGAAATATCTGCGCTATTGGTCCATCTTCCTCGCCCCGCCTCAGGGCGCCTCGGGGCTATATAAAGCAATATGCCCCGCCCACAAGGGGTTCGGACTTGAGGCAGCTTCGCAGCTGCCTCTTCAACAAGATCGTCTCCGAATCTCCGCCCCCCCCCCCTCATTTTAATCACCCGCCCTCCATATTTATTTAATCTCTAATCATTTGTTTATTCTATTATTCCCCTTCGTATAATTGCCTCGTATTTATTGACGTATTATATTATATTGTTATGTTTATGTAAGGTTGAGCCGGAGCACTAGCTCCTGCTTGACTACCCTCTATCTCAAACTTATCTATCCCCCACCTATCTATCCGCTATCTTATTTCTTATCTAATTAATCTTATAATTATATCCCGCCCTGTTTTGCCGTCTGCCGCTATACTTCTACATCCTATACTTTGTTTATATATGCCTGATAAATGCTTAGTAAGGAAGCTAGTTGAGTTTTGTATATGCCGGTTGAGAGAATAGGAAGTAAGCGTTACTGAAAGTCCAGCTACGGTACCACTCTTAGCTTAACGACAACCTAAAAACACAAATTCGTTACATCCTTGCGACAGTTTAAAATTAGATATGGATTTTGACTGGTTGCTTTTTCGATCCATGGGATAGTTCACACTGCTATTGGCACCAAATCAGCAAACAAACAGCTTTTGAATTCAAGCTCATGGTCCGAGTCCATATACTAGAAGAATTATGTTGACAGGCTTGTTTCTCCTCTTTTGGCTTGCTCATGGTTTTGGCCCGCAAAGATCCCACTAGTAAGCATCTTGCTTGTAAATGCTATGCTGCACAATTGTCTCAGTCCTATTTTCAGAGATGTTTAGCAAATGAAGGGTTTATTTTGAGCGGACAGTGCGGTTGTAGTAAAAAATTAGACGGCTGCTCAAATTTTTGATCTAGAGGCTGGGAGTTGGTACGTGGAGGTAAATGACGGCTTTATGAATAACTAGATGGCAAACCCGGCTCCGCCCGGGACCAAACTTTGCGCACATACACTTCGGGGCAGGGAGCGTGTCATAGTCCACTTTTCGTTATCGATCGATATCGATTTTACCGATTTTTTGCAAAATTTGAGCTAGGGGGCTAGGATTTTGCACAGCGGGGTAATCGAGCATGCTGATCAACCCCTCCGGGGTGATTAGCATGCTCGATTACCCCCCTGTGCAAAATCCCAGCCCCCTAGCTCAAATTTTGCAAAAAATCGATAAAATCGATATCGATCGATAACGAAAAGTAGCCTATGACACGCTCCCTGCCCCGAAGTATGTGTGTGCCAAGTTTGGTCCAAATCGGTTCAGAAATAAAAATTTCTATTCCGCACATACGTACAGACATACAGACATACATACAGACAGACAGACAGACATTCAGCTTTATATATAAGACTAGCGACCCTACGGGTCGCTAGTAAGTGGGTGGGGGCAGATACATTGATATCTGCCATTAATTAACTAAAAATCCCAATAAAGAGAATTTCCATCTTCCCAGCGACCTTTCGCGTATAGTGAGTAGTAGAAACAAAACACCATGCTCTTAGGAAAAGAAGCTACTACCAGTGACTATCCGCAAAGCATCTCTGCTGTTCTTCTTGCAGATACCTTCGCCCAGATACCAAGGCTCTTAAAGGCAGTAGGTCGGCAGAATGAGACCCGTGGCAAAACAGGGTCACAGGGTAGGAGCCCCCATAATGGAACCTATGGGCCAAAGTTCGATCTTTCTGTGCCACTTCTAACCCCCGGAATTTCAAAGCGAAAACAGCGCTGATCTCCTGTCCTCTCCGAACCCGCCCACCCCATGGACGAGTGAACGCGAAGCCCGTCATGGCGAAGACGCAAAGTCGTTGCGGGACCTCATGCTTATAGCATTGCGGCTGGCGCTCTGACCGCGAAAGTCACTCGTCTATGGGGTGGGCGGGTTCGGAGAGGACAGGAGATGAGCGCTGCTTTCGCTTTGAAATTTCGGGGGTTAGAAGTGGCAGAGAAAGATCGGACTTTGGCCGATAGGTTCCATATGGGGGCTCCTACCCTGTGACCTTGTTTTGCCACGGGTCTCATTTTGCCCGGACGCTGCCTTTAATGGCAGCGTCCGGGCAAAATTTCGCCTCTCATGTTTCTGCCATTCTGGGGCCTTTCCGTGGCCCTGATTCAAAACTCCCAAAAAACCCGGTTCTTGGGGACCCTCTCTTCAAGGAGCGGACGAGTTTCGAATTGCTCGTCCCCATCGTCATGCCAGCGGGAGGAGCTGCAACTGAACGGATGCTGTTGCATTGCAGTGAGCAGTGCAACTGCAATGCAACTGCACACCTGCGTAAGCACTCGTCCTCAGGGGTGGTTTGTGATACGAAGGGGCGGCTTGTGATACGTATCACAGGCCCGTATCTCCTTTTAGAGGGCACATCAAAGGATTGGACCAACGCAGATCGGATACTCATGGGCCCCTCTTTACAACTGTGTGCTAATCTGGGTGGATGGATCTTGCCTGGACGCTGCCTTTAAACAAGGAAGCTACCTCCAAGCACTTGTTTAGAACAGCTGATTCATCCCAAAACTCAGCTTGATTCCCAGGTTAGTGCCATTTTAATGGAAGCGTCAAGTTATGTCTTTCAGCAGCCGGAAACTCAGATATATTGGATAAAAAAGAAGTATTCTTCTCGATGATGTCTTGCCAGTGAACGGACTCATTTCTTAGAACAGACTAAAGCTTGCCCGACGCCTTCTTTTGAGAGACACTTACCGAAACTGTCCTGTCGCATAAAACCCTAGGTCTTTCCATACCCCGAAACCAAGCTCCTCATACTTCCGCTTTT